GCTGCAATAAAGATCTCTTGGTTGCTCCGAGTGTTGTGGTCACTTTTCTTTCATTCACCATGTGATAAGATAAACCATTGTTGAAATTATATGTCAATTGTCCTGTTAGATTGCCCATATTCTGGATTTGGTGATTTTATTTCTTTGTTCCGGCCAGTGTCCTTCCCATAAACTTCCAGTTTGTACTGATGGCTTTTTTATGTTCAACATTTTTGTCATATTGTTTTTTATAAACACATGAATTTAAAGGAGGGCTGTGAGGCTTGACTTTGCTTGCGCCCTTTAGAGAAGGGATAATCCCATATTTGGCTTGTGGCTGAGGAGAGCATCATCTCATTCATCCTAATCCCCTCTTATCAGTCTTCTCCTTCCAGGCAAAAATTGTTCAGATATAAACTTCTTTCTAAAAGTACTATCAATGAGCTTCTAGGGGCTGGGGCTCAGTGGTAGAGCACTTGCCTAGTATGTGTGACGCCCTGGGTTCGATCCTCAGCACCACATAAAATAAACAAAATGAAGCATGTGTCCATCTACAACTAAAAAAATTTTAAAAAATGAGCTTCTAATTGCCAAATTAAATTTCTGTAATGTGACATGAAGGACCATAGACTGAGATACAGGGAAGATGTTTTACTCAACTGATTACTGTTGTGGGAGACTGAGGTTCAATCCAACAGGAAGTCCTCTGAGGAAATATGTAGGGTGTCCCTTTCTTAAGGTTGGGATGCCATGGCACTGACCTACCAATTCTCATCCTCCATTGCTTAAGGATTGCCTTCAATTCCTGTGCTGTGATTGCAGGAGCATTGCCCATAAGAAAGCTCTAGCTGGGCCTGGTGGCACATGCCTGTAATCCCAGCAGCTCAGGAGGCTGAGGCAGGACGACTATGAGTTCAAAGTCAGCCTTAGGGCTGGGGTTATAGCTCATTGGTAGAGCACTTGCCTAGCATGTGTGAGGCACTGAGTTTGATTCTCAGAACCACATAAAAGTAAAATAAAGGTACATTAACAACTAAAAAATATTTTTTAAAAAAGTCAGCCTTAGCAATTTAGTAAGGCCCTAAGAAACTCAGTAAGACCATGTCTCTAAAAAAAAATATAAAAAAGGAGCTGGGGATGTGGCTCAGTGGTTAAGCACCCCTGGGTCCAATCCCTGGTTAAAGGGGGGGAAAAAAAAGCCACAAAATTACTCCATCAAAGAAAGCCTTAAGGAAGAAAAGCAAAGTAAATTGACATGTTAGCTTGGTAGGAAAGGGTCCACTCTAGCTGCATTTTAAATAAGAGGTGAGCCAAAAAGTCCTTGATGTGGGAAGCCAGAAACATCTACTAATGTCTCCTGTATTCTCAAACTCACTTGAAAATAGCATCATTACCACCTAGTCAACTGTGAGAACCTACTGCTAGTTGCCCCAGCTCATTCACCCTTTCCTCCTTTTAGCATTAGAATTTTTGGAGTATGGCATAAATGAAAGGGCTAAACTGGTAGGTTCCCAGAGAAGGTGACGGGATTGGGAAAGTTTAGGGATTTAGGGAGAGGATTCTAGCACTCTGGGGGCTTAATTTCTGCCACTTCTAGGAATACTCAGACTTAATCGTGTGTATGTGTGTGTGTGTGTGTGTGTGTGTGTGTATTAAAGGTACACAGGGGCTGGGGCTGGGGCTCAGAAGTAGTGCACCTGATTGGCATGTGTGAGGCACTGGGTTCAATTCTCAGCACCACATATAAATAAATAAATAAAATAAAGGTCTATCAACAACTAAAATATTTTTAAAAAGGTACACAGATGCATTTGTTTGTGAAACACTATTATTGGGTAGAATACGGAATTTAACTTTTGGCTGTGAATTTACTGTGGAAAGATCATGGGGGGAGGAGACTGATTCATAGTGGGATAGGGAGAGGGAGCATGGGAAGGATACAAACTCTAGGTAGGGCAGAGGGGTTGGAGCGGGAGGAAAGGGGCATGGGGTTAGAAATGATGGTGGAATGTGATGATCATTATTATCCAAAGTACATGTATGAAGTCACAAATTGGTATGAATATACTTTGTATACAACCAGAGATATGAAAAATTGTGCACTATATGTGTAATAAGAATTGTAATGCATTCTGCTGTCATATATAAATAAAAAGAAAGAAAGATCATAGGGAGATTTGAAATGACAATCACAGCAATAAAGCCCACAGAAGTGTTGTAAATTGCTTGAATCAGAATTCAGGAAACCTGGATATTTCTATATTAAAATATATTAGTTCATTAACATCTATAGATCCCCTTAAGTTTTAGCTAGGTCTACTGCTTTCCATCTAGTGACAATATTTCCTAGTTGAACTTGCAGCTCAATATAGCAATGCAACTTTAGAATTTCAAAAACATTCAACTGTTTTTTAAAGTTAAGGGACTGAGATAGGCTGAAAATGTTTTACGTTTCTAATTTATGAATATTAAGACAAATCCAATTGAATACTTCTAGTTTTACAACTTAATCATCATTTGATATTTTTTTCCTAATTTCAGCAAAAATTGGTAAAAATGACATGACACAAAGCAATAGGTCCTGGGTTAATGTGCAGCCAATAGCAGATGTATTTTTCACTACATTGCAAAATAGACTCCTTTAAGTTAAATGCCCTTTCCAACCACCCATTCTCCTGATTAAAGAAGTTTTGCCATTCATATTTATTAATTTCCAATAAATAGTCATGATGTTGGTGGTTTCCAATATTTGAACCATGTTTTGCTTTGAGATCCAATGTATGCATCCTTTCTCGGACAATAATATTACTTACATTTGTACAACACTTAAGCTTCAAAGCCTTTATATACATTATTAGCTTATTTGTTTTTTTCTTTAGTAAATTAAATGATATCAAGAAGAAACATGAATTTCAGGAATGTCAACTTTGTCTTTACTCTGAGGCAGTCATTAATTTTCACATCTCTTTCAGACAGTGAATGTATCTTATTTCTTCATGTTTTAGGAATGACATAATATTCCCCTAGACAAACATTTGGGCTAGGTATGTTATGAAATATGTCAATTCATTTTTGTAGCAGTGTTCTTAGGACTCTATCATAAGTGTTCTTATTCTGGTTATGTGGATGAACTTCAAAAATGTCATTTATACCCTTGAAATTAGGAAAATATGAACATTTGCATTTTCCTATGGAATAACTCAAATGCTTTCATCATATTCTCAATTATGAGCCAGGTACCAAAAGAGAGACAGAAAAATAACTGCTCAACTAGAGGGGATAGGAGGTAACTGTTGTAATTTAAATTCAATCCCCAAACCAAATTTAAACAAGCATTTGCTAAATCACTTTAATCCTTTTGAAAACACCAACGCCACTTTCTCTCTCTCTCTCTCTCTCTCTCTCTATATATATATATATATATTTTTATATTTTTTTTTTTTTTTTTGTGGTGCTGGGGATTGAACCCAGGGTCTTGTGCATGTGAGGCAAGCACTCTACCAACTGAGCTATATCCTAGCCCTTTACCATATAAATTTTAAAGTATTTGAAAAAACTGTGATTCCCAGCATGTCACACTATAGGTACATAATATAAAAGATAATTTAAAGACAGGCACAGTGGCGCACACCTGTGATCCCAGCAGCTAGGGAGGCTGAGGCAGGAGGATCAAGAGTTCAAAGCCAGCCTCAGCAACAGCGAGGCGTTAAGCAACTCAGTGAGACCCTGCCTCTAAATAAAACTCAAAATAGGGCTGGGGATGTGGCTCAGTGGTCGAGTACCCCTGAGTTCAATCCTCAGTACCCCCTGCAACAACAAAATAAGATAATTCAAGCGATTCTAAATCTTACAAATGGTAACCCTGGAAATGACATTATGTTGAGCATTTGCTAAGAGATGTAAAGTGAGACAAGGGTGCTTTCTTGTCAAAAAGGGATTTCAACACTGCTAATTGCACAAGTAAGGGTTTTATACATTTTGCAGAACCACTGAATTAGACAGGAAGCCTGGGGTTTAGTACCAGTTTTATTTATAACTAACCACATACAAATCACTTATCTAAAAAATAATAGTTAACATCTCCTTAATCCACAAATATATCACAAAACCAAAATCTTCCCCAAGAAAACTTCATTGTAAACCAAGATATTAATAATATTTAGCCTAGGCTTTAACTCAAAGGTTGAGAATTCTCAAATTGGAGAATTTGTCTTATGTACCAGTTATATACCTTAATTATGCAGATGAATAATCTGGTTGAAATAAAAATTGTCATGTTTCAACCTTACAGAATAAAAAGCTATCAACAGAAGTTAACAGAGAAGAAAAAGTTGGCTAAAAAATAACACCAATTGAGAAATAGCTGTCTGTGTTAAGAGCAGTGTTTATAACATCCCTGATAGCAAATAGGACAAAATTTAGACTCTGGCCACTAAAGTATATTTATCTTTTTAAAGGAACAAATATTGTTAGAGCAGGCATCTTCTTCACTAGAAATATTAAACAGGAATGTTGAGTAGATTTTCAAATGGCCAATCAAAATGATGAAGAAAACATTATTTGTTGGACTTTTTAAAAAATATCTTTTGTTTCTGTTTTCATTTAAAAAAATCTCTTTCTCACTCCAGACCAGAGTCCTCTGTCCTCTGCTAGAGTATTAAAAATTAGCATTCTGTCACTAGATAATAAACACTAAGAAGAATTAGCATATTATTGAACAGAAATTCAGGAAGATAATTCTAAATGGGTGCAGAAACCTTTACACACCATAAACATCTATATATGTATATGTACACCATTTATCAGGTATATGTGACAACCATATGTATTAATTAATCTTCAAAAGGTAAGCACCTATATTATCTTGTATTTAACAATGTCAGTTTTGTGTGATTTAGTCTCTATTTCTGGACTTTCCTTTACATATGGTGACAGAAAAAGAATGACTGGAGTATAGTTCACAGAGAAACACCAAACAGATACAAATACCATAATAAAATAACTATATATATATATCACTGCTTAGGAAATATTTTCAAAGAAACATACTTTCACTATTGGCCCCAAATGCCATCATTCACTTATGTTCTTTAACTGTCAACTTTTAATACAAAAATACCTTCAAGCTGATAATCAAGAACATTTACAGTGACTTACAAAACTGACAATATTTCAATGCTACACAAAACAGTTTTTATACACAGCTTAAAGTTTTAAAGTTCTTTGCTGGCACTTGATTTTAGAGTTGATAGACACTGTTAACTACTGATCTCAATAAAATACATTTTTTAGTTTATACATATTTTCAGACCGAATATTACTTCACAAAAACAGTAAAGAATAGAGATCACTTCCTGCTAAAGAATCCTCTAAGATGAACCCTAAAACTATACACCAAAATATTTTAGGGAAGCAAATAAACTTTTTAAGACAAGGCATGAACAGTGGATAAAAATTTATATTCCCCAATTATATGTCCAGTGAAAAAGGGTTCTTCCTCTGAGTCAATGAAGCATGTTATCAGGTATAATAAAAACTATAAATTTATAAAGCAAGTTGCTTTTTGTTGTTAGTTTTTGTTGGCTGGTTGGTTTAGAAAGGTATTTAAATAATTGGTAACGCTATTGCCGGATTTTTTTCAAGATATAGAAAAATTGGTCAAATTTAGTAAATATACATTTTATATCTCGCTGCCCCCACCCCCCCCAAGATAAAAGCTAAAATGCCTTTAAGTAGTGGAATCCTGATTTTTTTTTTTTTTTTTTTTTTTACTTTCTGTGACCTTGTAAGGTCTTTCTACACGTTATCAAAATGAAATCACTATTCAGTAACCTTAATACATATACCCAATTTTTTTTCTTTGCAAAAATGGAGAAAAGCAAACTAAATTCTAACAAACTATTTTCAGCTTAGAATACTAAAAACTCTCTAAAAGATTTTGTAAATCTACCACTTTCATTATTCTGAAGGAAAATATACACCTTCAAAAGCCCTCAAACAATTCCTAGTCCAGTTTTCTGTTACACAAATTAAAAAGAATTGTGGCACTGTAAACAGAATTTAAAAATTAACTTCAGACTAAATTAGAATAAACAAAATATAAATGTTCTATCTAATCAAAACAATGAAAAAAAACACCAAGCATCCTAACCAATTATGTAGTTAATTTTTGCACATTTTAATTTTAGACTTTTAGCACAGTAAATTATTAAATAGGTTGATTTCAGAAACTGTTTATATTTTGTACATTAGCATTTCAAAATATTACCCTTTCTAAACCAAATCTGTAGTCCTGATCAACTTTTTTGTTTTCAGGAAAAAAGCTATCTTTTAATGATACATTCCACATAGTATAAACATTTGTTTTGAAATATTTACAAAGAACCCTGCTGATCTGGTGCATTTCGCTGAGGTGCTACCTGTACCCAGACTTCATCATCAGAAAAAGAACTTGAACTTCCTGACTCAGAGTCCAGCTCACTGAATCCATCTAAGTCCCATTCAGTACTAGACTCACTCCGTGCATCATCTTCCTCAGTGATGAAACTCTGACCAGGTTCAAGGCAAGAAGGATAAACACGAGCACAGAGACAAATAAAGCCAGAGTCAAACTGCAAAAGGCCTAACATGGTACCTATGTTAATCCATTGGTCTTCCCTAGTATGGTATTCATACACAGTCACCCTGTTCTTTTTCCATTGTGGGGTGGTAGAAGTGATAAGCAGTAACTTTTGATCATGATTAACGATCTGATAGTTGTGGGTCTCTGAGTCCAAGGGAATATTACTAATCTGTCTCCATTCTCCCCTAGCTGGGTTGTAGACCTTCATGACTGGGATGTCACAAATACAATAGATCTCATCATTGAAGACACATGCTTCCTGAAAGTCACTGCGTTTAAGAGATGCACAGTTCAGCCACATATTATGTCTAGGATCATAGCAGAGCATGCGCTTACTGTTGACAGCGTAAAGATAGTTCTGAACCACTATTAGTTCAAAAGAATAAAAGGAGTGGGGAACAGGAGCCACCAGTGCCCACTGGTTCCTCTGAATACTATAGCATTCCACTTCCTTCAGTTTGACTCCTGTAATAGGGTCTCGCCCACCCAAAATGTAAATGTAGCCATTAAGATATGCCACATCCATGCCCTCACGACACAGCAAGCGGTCTGCCAGTTGCTGCCAACTATTTTGGGCTGGTTTATACACCCAGAGGTCTTTCCTGGGCTGGGCAGCTAGGTAGATGTCATGGTCTGGAGAGACACAGACAGCTGAGGAGGTGATAGTTTTAGTGTGAGCCAAGCTGGTCAAAGGTGATGGCATTGTGTAAATGTCCCCCGAGTATGGGTCATAGCAGAGAAAGGGATCTCTGGGATGTCCAAAGAAGATCACCATCTCCTTGGCACACATACCCAGTCTCTGAGGTGGATTATCTGCTACAGATACAACAGAACTGCTGCTGCTGCTGCTGCTGCTGCTATTTGGCTTTGGCACTACAGATTTGTATAGCATGTCACCACAGCATATCTGCAGGGCCCCTTCAATAATGTCTGAGCAGTACTTCTTCACAATGGGCCTAGTTAGCAGTCCTTCCAGGTAGTCCTGATCTTCTTCAGTGAAGTGTGTCCAGCGGACACACTTGAAGACTTCTGCAGCACTGGGACCCCGCTCTTTGGGAGCAGCCTCGAGCCACTGCACAGCCACACGGCATACAGTACGCTCACTCTCTATGTCCAGACTATCCAGGCGCAGGACTGTTAGTAGCTGGGCCAGGGTCAGATCTGCTAGAGTCTCCTCCCGAACTGAACCCATCCTGCTGAGCTGCTTGAAGTTGTGGGCTATAAAGGACTGGGCCTGTGATCGTAGCTTGTGATGGTCAAAAGCATCAGCAAACTTGAGGATGGCAGTGCAGTTAGTGAGGTCAAGACGGCGGGCTAGAAAGGAAGCACAGGCTTCCCGCACATACTCAAGCTGAAGCATGTCGGAGGCAGCATACAGGCGCTGCACGTTGGCCTCACTCAGGGACACACGACCTGTGTAGCAGTAGTCGACCAACACCTCAAAGGACTCTGCATCCACATCATGCATGGTCACGCTTGCTTGCTGACTCTCATACATGCCACCTGTGAACATGCTCTTGAAGTAGGGGCATGCAGCTGCCAGCACGTTGCGGTTGCAAGAAAAGCGGCGACCCGTGCCAGGCCCGCTGCCAGGCGTCACCACTTCGATGGTCACATCACATAGCAGCCGCGCGTCGTAGAAGGACTTCAGCTGTGCCAGCAAGGCTGCAGAATGAGCTGTGTCCTTTAATTCCTCAGGGCCCGTGAAAAAGGCCGAAACCGAAGGCTTGGAAATCCTCTTGGGCCGCCTTCCACCGCGGGGGCTGGCGAGGCGACGAGAGCGCGGAGCGTCTTCCCGGGACTGCATGGTGGAGATGGCGGCGGGGTGCTGAGGGCGAGAACGGCTGCGGGCACCCGGCTCTGGCTCCTCCTCAACCTTCGCTCGCTGACGCTAAAACAGAAGCGTCCCAGAATAGACTGGCCACGCTTACTTAACTCAACTCTACGCTGCGGTGCCGCCTCCCTTTATCGCGTAAACAGTGCTTGACTCACCGTTTCCGTTCCGTGCCCTTTTTCCACCTCAGCTTGCCCTCACACGACCGCGGGCTGGAGCCTCAAGGACCGCCACTGCCGCGCTGGCGATACCGGTAGGCACTCGGGAGAACTACCGCTCCCAGGTTGCCTTTCGTGCCTCAAAGCATGCTGGGGGCTCTGCAGACTCCCGGGCGGAGGCTGACGGACAGAAGTCGCGTGGCATCTTGGGAGTTGTAGTTTGTGTAATGCTTCGAAGTTTCCTGTCGTTGATTGATGGCATTAACAGAACTAAAAAGCGTTAATTTCTCTGAATTTGATGGTTAAGAGCACTGCTTTGAAGTCCAGATTTGAAGCCTCGTTTTGTTATTCACTGATTATGTGACTTCTTTTTGAAATTGTTTTATCTTCTTTGTAAAATAAAACAATATCTCATTGGTTGTTGAAGACTGAATGATATAAATTACATAATAGCAGCTGCCATTCTCGAGTGAGGGGTGGGGGTTTAACAGACTGCTAGATTGACTGGAAAGGAAAATGAGGAAACTTTCAGGGCTGATGTGTTTCCTTCTTGTTTGGGCAGGTGATGACACGGGTGAATGAGTGCAGTTGCCAAACCCAATGAACTGTACTTATATTTTATGTACTGTAAGTTATATATACTCTCAGAGGAGCCCCTTCATAATTACTGGCACTAAACAAGGTTGCAAACTTCTTTGCTAGGAAATCATCATAAAAATATTCCAGTCATAAAGAAAGATTCTTATCTAGAGTTATATAGGCAAACATTGCTCCAATTCATGAAAATTATTCAGTAGATGTGGTGCACCATAAGGGAACTTGAGTGCCTCTGGATGATGTGCAAGGATCTGCATAACCGGGTTTTTCAAATTTGTAGAGTAGTTGAGTGCCCAACATTCAAGCATTCTTTTTTTCTTACCACAACTTTATTACTCGAATGCTCCTTATTATCTGTTTCCTTGAGCTTTCTTGTAATTTGCATCATTCTCTGCAACGGAATCCACATTCTTCTGATAAGAAGATGTAAAGAGCTGTTTGTCTGGTAATTTAGTCTTGATCATAAAAAGCCATCATTTCATTTTCCAGGAATCTTTAACTTCATCTCCATTCATGTTTTCAACAATCACATCTACTTGGACCCTTCTGAGAAGATTAAGGTGTCTCAATTATACTCCACCATTTCCATTTCTGGGTGACCTGTCTTTCTGGTCCTGGGAATTGAACCTAAATGCTCTACCATTAAGCTACATCCTCATCCCTTTTTATTTTGAAACAGAGTCTTGCTAAGTTGCCAAGGCTGGCCTTGAATTTGCAATCTTCCTGCCTCAGCCTCTGGAGTCACTGGGAATAAGGAGTCACTGGGAATGTAAGCATATGCTACTAAGCCCAGTAATTTTTACTTGAAGACCAGATATCTTCTTTCCTGGGGCAGTGCCTCTCAACTTTATCTTTGAATTTTGTTCCTGATTGGATTTTGAAGACCTCTGTGTTTCTGCACATTGGTGTCTAAGTATCTGAGGACTTTGTTTTCAGGAACCCATTCATCACCACTGTAACACATTTCACTCATTTGGCCTGTATAGCAATCTTTACGTGCTTTGATTCATAAGAGGCCCATAAAAGCACAGCATGAGCTGACCTCAGAATTGAGGCTTCAGTACCATTTGTAAGGGATTAACTATCACCTTCTCTCACCTGACTCTAGCAACCCAATATCAGGTGTGCATAGTCAGGCACTGCCACAGGTATCGTTCTTACTCTAATTTTTAAATAGCATCTACAGACTTCCTTTCTCCCCTACCCTCATCCCCAGAGAATGTAACCCAGGGGCACTGTACCACTGAGAATCTCCCCAACCCTCTTTAAAATTTTGAGACAGGGTCTCCTTTAGCTTCTCAGGGCCTCCCTAAATTGCTAAGGATGGCTTTAAACTTGCAATCCTCCTACCTCAGCCTGCTGAGTGGCTGGAATTACAGGCCTGTGCCACTGCACCCAGCTCCTAAAGATGTCAAGTTTATCTTTGTGCTTGGGAAAACTAATAGATCTACTAAATGAAGCAGTATTACAAATTTAATTGAATCTCACAGTATGAAAATAAGGTGCATTACAACAGGAAGAACTCCCTAGCTGAATAATAGACATCTAGATCCTTGCTACTCCAAGTATTATTTGTGGATCAGCAATCTTCACCATTACCTGAGAGCTTGATAGAAATGCAGAATCACAGTCCCCAGACCTACTGAATCAACATCAGAGGTTTCATTCCTTTTTCCTCCACGTAAATTGTAGCTTTAAGGAAAAGTCAAAGCTGGAGGAAGAGGAAAGGCAAGAGAAGGGTGGACAGTACCACAGTTTGGTTAAAGCAGGACAACTGGACACATTAGGTTCTCACTTTGGCTGAAGAAACAATTTCCCTTCCCCCCCCCCTTCCCCTCTTAGACCCCTCCCTTCCTGGGCATGTATAGAATGTTAAATCGATTATCACATGAATGGATGGTAAGAACTGCAATCTGTATACGGGGTAAAAATGGGAGTTCATAACCCACTTGAATCAAATGTATGAAATATGATGTCAAGAGCTTTGTAATGTTTTGAACAACCAATTAAAAAAAAAAAAAAGAAATCAATACCCCCTTCTCTTGCTTTCCCTCTTACAACATTTTACTTTCTCAAATTAACAATTTTTTTTTCCAGAAATCATGCTTTGGGATTTGTGTTAGTATTTTTCTTGAAGAAAAATGGTAGAATTTAAAAAATTATATATAATCTCATATTTGACATAATATAATGAATTATCAGATGATCTCCTTTTTATTGTTTCACAGAATATTTAGTATGCATATTTCTTTGGATAAATGTTATGTAAAATGCTTGAAAACAAAATCTTTTACTCTGTAATGCTCCATTCAATTCAATATTCTTTTCAATTAAGTCAAATTCTCCAGAGATATTGTTACCAAAAGCTCAGTCCTTGTCCCTGATGCCAATCCAATAACGAGGACATGGTTTTGAGAAAAAGGAAAAAGGTTTATTGCTTTGCTAGCAAAGGAAAAACACAAGGAACTCCTGTCCCAAAGGCTGTGAATCTGCCAATCAGCAGGAACAGGGGGCTTTCAAAGAAGTGACTCAAAGGCTACATTCCATGTGTTCTCTGTCTGGAGTTATAATTCACTTGTAAACTTGGGAGATAGCCATTTATGAGATTTTCTGGTACCATCCTCAAAGTCCAGATTACTTTTGTTTTTATGGTGAGTGTGTACTCAGGGATAAATAACTCTGTCTAGGATGGGGAAGAAAGGTAATCCTGTTTCTCCTGAGATTAGGGAGGAGGAGAGGTTAGGGAGGAGCATAGAGAGAGAAAGAGAAAGAAACATATCCACTTTAAAAATAAGTTGCAGTGGCAGAGCAGCATGGGTTATATTCAAAGCATAAAGTGGACCAATGTTACAACATTACAATATCAGTTATTTTAGGGGACAACACTGACCCTAAATGGCACTGATTCAATTAGGATTAAATAATCTCTCAACTCTGAAGAAGGGTTTTTAAAAAGATAGCCAGCTGGGCTGGGATGTAGCTCACTGATAGAGCTCCTGTCTAGTATATGGAAGGGCCTGAGTTTCAGCTCAGCATTGCAAATGTAAAAAAAATATTAAAAAGATAAATATAGAAGAATGAGAACCCTGCTGTTTTATAATTCCCAATGTTTCATTATGTTCTAGCCAAATTGTTAAAGATGAATAAAGACAGATATTAAAGAAGTGAAAAGAAACCGACAGTAGGTAGAAGAGCTGAGCTCCATTCCGATTTGTGCAAAATTAATTTGGGATTTTTTTTTTCTTTTTTTGGTACTGGGGGTTGAACCCATGGGTGTGTGTCACTGAGCTACATATCCAGCCCTTTTTTAAATTTTGGGACAGGGTCTCACTAACTTGCTCAAGCTGGCTGAACTTGTGATGCTCTTGCCACAGCCTCTTGAGTTGCTGAGATTACAGGTATGTGCCACCACACAAGCCAAGTTTAGGAATTTTTAAGGAAGATGAGGGAGGGAAGGATACAAGGGCTCAGTAGAGAAGTGAAATAGTCCAAAGGGTTAGTCAATGTACATGCAACGAAGCCAACAGTGTCTGCTAGCTGCAGTGACCAAAATTGGGATTCAATCCACCCACAGACTGAGACAGAGGCCCTGTCCTTCTTGATGATTACATTACAAAAAAATGACTCAGGTCCTTGAGAGAGATGCTTGAATTGCAAGAGATACATATTTACAATTACCTTTTTAGTAAATGCTCTAAGGAAGGGAAGTTCCAGCCTTTCATTGGATATGTGTTGACTAGAATAAATTGCAAATGTTCCTGCCATTGTTGAGCTTCAAAAAGTCAATGTCATATGGGGAAGAAAGTTAAGGGGATTAACCTAAACCAAGGTGATAAATCCAAATGCAATGTGTGAATCTTAGTTGGATCCTGGATTGGATAAAACTAGCTAAAACAGATATAGAAATTTTTGTAAGTGATAACTATTATGTTGTAATATACATAATTGTTAATTTTATTAGATATGATAATAAAGTTATGAGTTTGTAGAACATGCTTACTCTTAGAAGATGCATGCTGAAATATTTTGGAGCAGTCTCATGAAATCTACAACTATCAAAAAGCCCGACCATAGAGTGTAGTGTATATATGTGTAACAGAAAAAAAAAAAAGAAAAGAAAAAACCCCACAAACTCCCCCAAAACCACATGGGGTAAAATGTTAACTCTAGATGAATCTAGATAAACAGTGTATAATAAATCACCTAAAATTTTAATTTTTAAAACTTCTCTGTATGCTTGAACATTTTTGAAATAAGAACCTGAGAAGACATTTTTCTCCCATCTTTTCTTCCAAATAATTACATTAGTCTTAGAACTTGATCTTAATAGTCTGTCTGAAGAATATATCTAAAATAACCCTTCTTCAGAACAACATCCTATCATTTTGTGTTAGAGTTGGTAACTTATTTAAGTAATAAAAATATTGTATTTACTTATAAGCATTCAATGTCAGTAATAAAGTTGCAACTTTTTTCTTTTTTTGCAGTTGGAGTGGTAGTCAGTTAACAGAACAATTATTTCATAGAAGATGGATCAGAGATAACGAGGATGAAAAGACTACCATCCCCATATGTAACTAATTTGTGCTATGCACCAACAAAAGCCTATTTTAAATTTCCATGCCAATTTACAAGCCCCAGGCAAACTTAGTGGCTACTGGACATACCATCAGGACAGGGCTATATAAAGACATATTTGTTAGTGTGTTAACTATACAAAAAGAGACATTAGAAATAGACTAGAACCAACTTATTCATTATCATCTCTTGTCTTCCTCCTCTTCCTTGCTTTTTCCAACCCTCACCACTCTTTTTTTTATGTTTCAGGCTTACCTTTAGCTTGGTAGGCAGTGATATCCTTTTCATGTTTCTCTTTCAACTTGCACTTTCTTTTCATTAAGTTTCTTTACCTGTAGCTGTTATTCCACATTTCTCTCCCAGTTTCTTTGCAACATCACCAATCAACAGGCCCAAATGTTCTCCTCTGATTTGGGGGGCAAAACTCAGAACAAGAAGGAGATCTCTTGGGTATAATGGAATCCCTGAACTTTTTTTTTTCCCCTTTAGAAATGACATAGGTTTTCATTTCCACCTTTGCCATTGAGCACTTTTTAGAAAACTCAGAAATTGAAGTGCCCGGGTGCTTCTTCTTCCACTCTGACAAGTTTGCAGAGCACATATGACATTTTGCTCTCAGCTTCTTAGGATCTCCTTTGACTGTGTTTATCAGATTTTCCTCAGTGAGGCACAGAGTCACATGGTATCAGTCTGCCTCTCATTTGCCCTGTGCTGTCTCTATGGAGCTAAATGTACTGCAGTGGCTGTTAGAAGTTTAATTATCCAACAAAAATCTCTTTAAGGTAAGCATTGGGTTTTATATATCACTGCATGAAATAGATCACAATGAGTTACTCATATTATATCTGTTGATGCTTATTAAGTTGAACCAAAGAACAATAAGAAATACAAGCAAGCAGAAAGTCTATGTTGAATATTGGCCTCTAGTTCATACAATATAGAATTCATTTAGCAATCAAATGCTAGGGCATAATCTGTATCCTAGAGATGCTCATTGATGCTGAGTGACTCATATTCTTCACAATTTTTGTTGAAAAGTAGCAGTCTGAGTCCTAACTTTGACATAATTAACAATACTTTGTCTTTAAAAAAGAGGTTTACAAATAATGTATAAATCTGATATCACTAAATTTTACATTTTCCTGTGGTAGATGAAAAAGGTTTGGTTGTTTTGTTTAAGAAAAGGCATGAGAGAACAAGTGACCTGTCTTATATTATACATCAATTCTCAATACTCTTTCTCTCTCTTTTTTTAAATTTATTTTTTAGTTGTACACAATACCTTTACTTTGTTTATTTATTTCTATGTGGTGTTGAGGATCGAAACCAGGACCTTGCGCACGCTAGGTGAGCACGCTACCACTGAGCCATAGCCCCAGTCCACTCTTTCTCTTTTCAATAACAGCTTATTTTCTACTTGGAAATTCAGGTTGTTTATTAAAACTTAAACCTTTAAAGTCAATAAATGTGACTGATTCATTAAAAAAAAATCTATAAGTACTATGTACTTATAGCTGTATTCTATGAATATTCATAAAGATTCCTATGTCTCAGTCTGACTCTTTTTTTTGACTTACATAATTTTTTTCTATTTGTTCTTTATAGTTATACATGAGAGTAGAATGTATTTTGACACCGTATACATACTCAGTCTGATTCTTGATATAGGACCATTCTGTTGATAATGCTAATAAAGAATAAACAAATATTTATTTTGCTGATTTAAGGTTTTCATCCAAAAGTTCAACAATGGCTTCTTCATCTGCTGATTGAAGTAGTCTCTGAATTAGTTGATCCAGGCTTTTCTCACCACATAAAAATCCCTGGTAAAAGAGGTAATTATTATGAAACCTGATACTATAGTTTTGATCTGGAATACCCTCCTCCAAAGGCCCATGTGTTAAAGGTTTGGTCCCCAGTTTGGCCCTATTGGAAGGTGGGAGGTGTGGCTTTGTGGGAGGTTTTAGGTCATTAGGGACACACTGCTGAAGGAGACTGTGGGACACTTGTCTCTCTTTTTTGCTTCCTAGATGCCATAGATGAATGGCTTTCTTTGCCACAAACAACCACCATGATGTGCTGTGCCACCACAGGTCTTAAGCAATGGGACCAATCAGCCATAGACTGAAATCTCTAAAACTCCAAGCTATAATAAACCTGTCCTCATCACAAAGACTGGGGAGACTGAGGTAAGAGGATTATAAGTTTGAGATCAGTATCAGCAACTTAATGAAATCCTCAGCAATTTAGCAAGACACTGGCTGATACCAGGGACCCTGGCTTTACCAGTCCTGTGGTAAAGCAATCCTAGTACCAGAAAAAGTAAAAATAAATAAATAAACCTTTCCTCTTTTTAAGCTTATTTATCTTAGGTATTTGTTACAGTAATGGAAAACTGACTAACACACCTGATTATTAAAAATAAATAAAGTGAAGAGTTAAGTTTATACTTCTTTTCTTTTTTGTGTGTGTGTTATTAGGCATCAAACCCACAGAGTTGAGCATGCTAGGCAAGTGCTCTACCACTGAACTACAACTCCTAGCCCAATTTCATTTCTTTACCGTCAATATTTAATAGCAACAAAGGATTACTCATGTTCTATAATATAATGAATAAAACTGCTAACAGGGGAAGATCCCCAGTTTGCAGTGATTTTTTTAGGGGCAAAATGAATGCAAAAGCACAAATGGGGGCTGGGGTTGTAGCTTAGTGGTACAGTCCTCATCTAGCACATTCAAGGCCCTGCTTTCGATCCTCAGCACCACATAAAAATAAATAAATAAAATAAAGGTATTGTGTCCAACTACTTCTAAAAAATAAATATATTTTTTTAAAATGAGCAAATAGAATTAATTGTTTAAATTTGGATTTTGTTTTAAAAATCAATCCAAGACTTGGATCTTTCCTGTAACTCCGGAAACAATGAGAGATCCTAATGAACTTTTGAAACTGACCACATCCTTCTCTGATATTCTTTCTCTTGTTTTTTGTGACACCATTCTAGGGTTTTCAAATCATCTTTGGGAGGATTTGTTTGGTGAATTCTTTCTCTTCCTGTACCCTAAAAAAAAAAAGGCTTTTTATTCTTATCCTGAAAATTCTGTTCTTTTCATTCGTATCTTATTCCCAAGGGCAAAGAAGACTGAAATGCCTTAATCGGGCAGATGTTTTGTTGCCACATTAGCATAAATGGTGTTCCTTGCCAAATCCTCTGGATCTAGCTCAGAGGGCACCACCTCAGACCATTTCAGCCCACCTTTCCTGTGCCAACCCTCCAAATTTACATGATTTAATCTGCAAGTGATTTTCAACAGGTTTTTCTCCCTGAAATGGGAAATCCAGTGGTTTTAAAATCTAGAGGTTTTATGTAATCAAAAAATATTTTTGTTGAAATATTTAGGGTAAAAGTCTCTTGAGGTCTGCAACTTGCTTTCAAATGATTCAGCAGCAATAGTTGTATGCAGAAAAGAGGAAGTGGGGAGAAAGAGAAGGCAAATATAGCAAAAATGTTAACAATTGTTGAATCTAGGTTATAGATTACATAGTGTTCATTGAACTCTTTTTTTTGGTGGGGGGTGAGAGTAGGTACTGGGAATTGAACTCAGGGGCACTGGACCACTGAGACACATCCTCAGCCCTATTTGTATTTTATTTAGAGACAGCGTCTCACTGAGTTGCTCAGTGCCTTGCTTTTGCTGAGGCTGGCTTTTAACTCTTCCTGCCTTAGCCTCCCAAGTTGCTGCTGGGATTACAAGTGTGTGCCACTGTACCTGCCTCATCACTTTTCCAGTCATATCTGTATTAATGTAGACCCCAAATTATTCATTCCTACTAGTCTCTTTACTGCCTTTTTATGGACTTAAACTTTATTTTTACTTGACAAATAATAATATATTTATGGGGCATAATGCGATGTTTTGATACATGTTTATAATGTGGAATGATTAAAGTGAGTTAAGTATCAAACCCATCAGCTTACATATTTATCATTGTTTTTGTGGTGAAAACACTTAAAATCTATACTTTCCCCAATCTTTATATTAATTTTTTTTTGTGGTGCTGGGGATTGAACCCAGGGCTGTGTGCATGAAAGGCAAGCACTCTACCAATTGAGCTATATTGCCAGCCCCTACTTTCCCCAATCTTGAAACATACAATGCATTATTTATTATAGTCACCATTCTGTGTAATATATTACTAAAGCTTATTCTTCCTGTCTAACTAAAACTTTGTACTCTTCAATATCTTCCCTTTCCCCACCTACCACTCTCCTCCTTCATATAGATTTCAATGTTTTCATACAGTTTTTTCATGCTACTCTCAAACTTTTCCCTTTCACTAATGTGTTTTCCTTTTTTCAAATAGGCTGGTTAGTGATTATTGGAACACCTAATACAATTTTTTCTTATTATTTCTGAGTCTGGCATATTTAGTACATAGTTAGTACATAGTCCATAGTCAGGTATTTTATAGATAAAAAGCCAGTTACCTTTCTGTTTCACAACTGAATATTATACTTTGTGCCTACAGGCCCATCTAAAAGATATTACTGGCCATAAGAATGTGAGTGTCTCAGGGAAAATTATCACCACTACCAGAAAAACAACCAAAATAATATGGTGTAACTAGAACAATGTGACCAAACATGTTTAGTTAATCCTGTGTGTTTCCTGAGGAAAGGGAAGTTAGTAAATATTTCATCCTTTTTGACATGGCTGCTGTGTTCCTATGCAAGAAGTGACATAAGATACAAAGATATTTATAAATATATTAAAAACACAGACATTTTCCTTTAAACTTTAATTTGGAGAATATAATAGGATGGAATCAAGTGAAAGAGGTTTTAGGTATTAGATGAACCAAAGAAAAAGATAAGAGCTTTCTGTCTCCGGCCTTGTCCACACAGTCCTTTATGGGAACCACTTCATTTTCCCCTTCAGTGGCAGCAAAAGGGAAGTTTTCTTGTGCTTCATTTTTTTAAACATCTTTACTTCTTATTTATTTTTTAAGAATATCTGTTTTTTTAGTTGTAGTCAGACACAATGCCTTTATCTTATTTATTTATTTTATGTGGTGCTGAGGATGGAACCCAGCACCTCACACATGCTAGGTGAGCACTCTACTGCTGAGCCACAGCCCCAGTCCCTAACATCTTTAATTTTATTTATTTATTTCTTTTAGGGCCTCCCTTTTGCAAGGCAAGCACTCTACCACTGAGCTACAATCCCAGCCCTGTGCTTCATTATTAATGTATTATTGTTAGTAGTGCTGGCTGGATGGCATTTAGGTAGGTTATTGTTCAAAAAATCTAGACAGGGTCTCTTCCCCAATACACAGCTGTAACACCTAATGAATATGCAGTATGGAAAATAGAATTATAAGATGTTCTCTGCTGTATACCGTGTGAATGCGGACAGAACCTGTAAATACGTTGGCATATGATCCCAGAGATTAGGTGAGTAATCAGTTGACTTTAAGTTAATCAAGAGAACTATTATCTAGGTGAGTTTGACTTTATCAGGTGAGATCTTCAAAAAGGCCTGAGCCAGCTAGGGATGTGGCTCAGTGGTAGAGAGCTTGTTTGGCATGCAAGAAACCCAGGGTTTGATTCCCAGCATTGAAAAAAAAAAAAAAGGCCTGAGCTTTTCCTGCAAAAATAGATAAAAGAGATGCTAAATGGGCGAGGTTATTTAGGAGACACATGGCAAGCAAATTCCAGCAGTATTTAGGAACTAAGAGCAGTTTTCAGCTGACAGCCAGGAAAAGAGTAGGAGTGTTAGTCCTTAACTGAAGAGAATTCTGACACAGATATGAGCTTGGAAGAGGATACCAAGCTTCAGAAAAGTATGTAGCCTTCATAACACCTTGCTTTTGGCCTTGTGAAACCCTAAGGAGAGAACGGTTCAGTAGTACCTGGATTCCTGACCTATAGAAAGCATGAGAAAATGAATAAGTATTGTTTTAAACTGCTAAATTTGTGGCAATTTGTTACCCAATAATATATGCATACATGTATATTCAATATGTATATTCAATATGTTGTGATTGTATAACAAAGAATTTGGAATTTTAAAATATAACTATTTCAAAGTGGCAGAAAGATCATATTTCTTACCAGCAAACTAATAAAAATGTAAATTTTAGGGTATTAAGCAAAATTGGCTTAACGATTTAAAATTACTTGGTAATATTTTAGACACAACTCTCCAGAATTGATTATACTTTCTTTGAAAAGCAAGACATAAAGCATAGTCAATAGTATTACCTTAATGTCACGAACTTCATATGCTATCCTGTGGTCAGTGACTCTATCCTGTGTGAAATTATATGTCCGAATTCTCTCTGATTGGGCTCTTGTTCCCACCTATGCCAGACAAAAGCAATTCATACTTTAACTTTATAATTACATTCATCACAATGGAACAATGGAAAAAGTACTTGTAAATGACTCTTCTATTTTAATAGGTTAAGCACTTTCTACATTTTTTTTTCAATGGTGTGTGTGTGTGTGTGTGTTGGGGATTCAATCAACCCAGAGCCTTGCCCATGCAAGATAAGCACTTTACCACTGAGCTGCCCTTTATTTTATTTTGAGATGGGGTCTCTCTAAGTTGCCCAGGCTCCCAAGTAGCTGGGATTATAGGTGCACCACCACTCCTGGCTAAGCATTTTCTAAAAGTCATACACAGACAGTGACTAGACAAAAGCAGGCAAGAACTTAATGTTAAGACTAGAGGTTTGGGGCTGGGAAGGTAGCTCAGTGGTAGAGCACATGCTTAGCATGCTGTACAAGGTCCTGGGTTCAATCCCCAGCAACACCAACCAAAGCAAACCAAAAATAAAAACAAAAACAAAAAAACATAAGTTTGTAAAACTTATGTCTTTTTAACACTTCCAATTCCAAATACTTAAAACCTAATCATCTTTCCACCCCAATCAGTTTCTTCTCCTGGTTCTACAAATGATACATATCACCATGTGTTCCCTTTTATTCAAGTAGAAAACTCTTGACACTCTGACAAGCACATCATGGGAGGTTACTATCTCAGGCTTTGATACAGACTCTGGGGGAGAGCTTACCTTCAATTCATCCAATTCATCCCATTCTCTAACTACCCATTTCTAATTGGTATCAAGAGTCTTTAATTTTAATCTGCCTTTTCTATTTATACTGTCATTTTTAAAATTTAAATTTTGCAAAGCTCTCATTATTAATCTGTTGATTTTTCTGCTTATATTGTGCCGACTTGCTTCATCTTCCTAAGGCACAGCCTTCTGAGTAAGTTTTCTTCTTTGGTTCCTTCTTGTCTTCTAAGCAGACACAACTCAACATTCAAGATGCTTCCTAACTTGGCCAACCTTCCCAACATTATTTATGAAGATTATGTGACCATCTATGATGCCACTTTTTATATTATGTTATTTTTATGTGTGTACCTGTTAACTGTGCTAAAACATTTCACAGATGCCCTTCTCTAACACTTTCCTACTATCTATTCCTTTCTGGTCCTGGTAATTTTAACATGTTCTCTTCTTCTTTTGAAACTCTTTGCACTTGAAACCTTCTTCAAAGCACACCAGAGTTCACCTCAACCTAAGATTATTTATGTTATTCTTAGTCTATGCATCTCCCCTGCCCCATCTCCCAATACACGACATACACAGCATCCTCCCTCAATTGCTTTCACTTTTTAAGATTATAAAAAAGAAATTCTATAATTCATTTTTTAAACACAAAGGTAAACAATATGGTCAAGAGAATTTTTTAAAATTACAGATTCCTAAGCCTGTATATGGGATTGTGTATTCTGAAAATATTCCCCAGGCCATCCATTTTGACAATCAGCCAGATTTGGAAACTATTGTCCCAAAGTATCATATTCAGAGCCACAACCCAAGTCCAGAACAATCAGATTAGAATCCCAGGATTGGGGGCAGGTCAGCATCTATAAAGCACACAGGTGATAGGTTGAGCTAGGCGGCACCAGGCATCATGCCTTCTGTATAAAAGCCGCTGAAGAAAACACTTCTAAGCTTTAGAAATCCCTATTAATAAACCGTTCAGGCAAGTAGACAAGGAATTTTAAAAGCAGAGAGATCCTTTCTGGATCTTTAAATCAGACTACTGAAGGAGATATATACACGTAATTTACATAAAGCCAATCTTAAGTACTTACCTTAAAAACTACTATGTAGAATATCTAGTGCCAAAATGTTAAGTGGTAAGTAAATCTCAATGTCTTTTATAATTTCCAGTGGGGCAGAATTCATAGTATTTATGTTTTCATTTACTTGCCAAGAAGCAATAGTATGAAAATTAATAGTCCTATCTACAGATGTACTAATGCTGCTCTACAATCTGGAATTACAACACATAGAGTATTAATATATTATTTATCCTGGCACTTTTACTACCTGTAAGTTAGAATGATTAAAAAAATAGAAAATGTAAAAAGACAGGGACATATCTAGATGAAAAGAACAATTAATATTTACATTTATATACTTCAGTATCCTAAAAGGCCATAAAATCTTTCAAATTTGATTTACTGTGTCATACTTATCTTCAAATAACATAAAAGCACAGTAATTTCTGAGTTCTACTTTCTTTTCTAGCCTCTTTTAAAGAGAACCTTTCTTTTCTTTTAGAATTTTAAATTATTTAAGTTTGTTTACTTAAGACAATGACATTCACTCATTTTAATTTGTAAGTTATCTGTGTACGTATTTGAATAAAAAAACATTATAAATGTATAGTGTACAAAATTCAAAAAGTATATTAATGAAAATAATAATGAAAAGTAAATCTCCCTCTATCCCTTGTCCCCAAGTCTCTTATCAGTAGCAATCACTGTTCCCTATTTTTTTAAAAATTTTTTTAGCTGCAGTTGGACACAACACCTTCATTTTATTTATTTGTTTATTTTCTACATGGTGCTGAGGATTGAACCCAGCACCTTGCTAGGTGCTCCGTGAGTGTTCTACTGCTAAGCCACAACCCCAGCCCATGTTCCCTATTTTTTTGGCACTGCCATTTATATTTGATCCACATAGAGTTATAATAAAAAGCATAGCTCTTTAAGGAAAATATCTGAAAATCTCAATTTCTTTTTCCCCCCTTGATACCAGGAACTGAACCTAGGGGAGCTTAACTACTAAGCCACATTCCTAGCCTGTTTTTTATTTTTCTATTTTGAAAACAGTGTCTCACTAAGTTGCTCAGGGCCTCACTAAGTTGCTGAGGCTAGCTTTGAACTTGCGATCTTCCTGTCTCAGCCTCCTGATCCACTGGGATTACAGAGATGCACCACTGCATCTGACCTATTTCTAAAGAATTATTTTGTCTTTAAAACCAACTTCCTCTTAAGACAGTTATGACATACACACTGGAGATAAACAATTGTTTATGCATCTTTCATTTACTCATTTGTAAATTGGAAAGCCTAATTTAATCATATCAATCCAAGCCAGGTGTGGTGGCATATGCCTATAATCCTAGCAGCTCAGAAGGCTGAGGAAGGACGATTGCAAGTTCAAAGCTAGCCTCAGTAACTTAGCAATGTCCTAAGCAGTTTAGCAAGACCCTGTCTCAAAACAAAATATAAAAAGGGCTGGGGATATGGCTCCATGGTTAACTGCCCTTGGGCTCAATCCCTGGTACCAAAACACACACACACACACACATCTATCCATCAATTCACAGAAATTTAAGTCACTGCTTATCTACAAAAAAAGCACATTTCCCTATGTTGTAAGACATTTCCATTTATGCAAGAGAAAACACTGTACTTTCTAAACAGAGTGTTGACTTTTGTACAGTGTCTAAATTATTACACTAAATAAGCCTTACCTGCAGTTTTCTAGTACTTTGTTGTTGACACCTGTCCTTCTCAATAATCTGCTGGTAGAGCCGAGCTCTCAACACACGCAAAGCTATTTCTTTATTTTTCAGCTGTGATCGTTCTTGTTGGCATTCTACTACTAGCCCTGAAAAACAACAGAGATCAGAGGTAAATTGCAGCCTATACAGGCCAAGTTAAGGCAGAACTGAGGACCATTTGAAAGGGGAAAGGTTAATCAGGAAAAGATCACAAAAGATAAAAAACATTTCAGAAACTGGTAACATCTGGAAATAGTTGCTTAGATTCTAATGTCTGATGAGATATTTCAGGGAGCACAAAGCAGCAGATGGTTATATATACTTATATACTTTCATTTCCCGAGCTTGGCCTCTCCCTCCCAGCTCATCCATATATTTGGACAGCTCAACAATAGCAAACTGCCTCTCTCCCCTGCAGTACTGCTCCATTCTCTGTCCTACTCAAAGAGGACTCAGTTTTTCCTGTTTTGGTCACAAATACACAGAGAGCTGATGTTTTAAAAATAACTACACAATGAAAACAAAAGAAAGAAGCTACTCAAAACCTTTAAAAGGAAAAGTTTATATTTATAGTGACTATGCTTTTGAGCTGTCTGGGTTCTAAAAAGAAATGTAATACATTCCTCTGAAAAATTGTGCTACAACTGTGTACAATGAATCAAAATGCATTCTGCAGTCATATACACCTAATTAAAATTAATTAATTAATTATTTTTTTAAAATTAGGGCTGGAGATGCGGCTCAGTGACCAAGTGCCCCTGAGTTCAACCCCAGTAACCCCCCACCAAAAAAAAAAGAAAAGGAAAGAAACAAAAAAGTTAATTTTTTTAATCTGAAAAATGAGAGAAATATTGTCAATGCACTGCCTAACATCATTTTGGCCAATGAAAGACTGTATATACTCTGGTGGTCCCATAAAATTATACTACCCAGTGACATCATAGTCATTTTAGCTTGTAGACCTCTATGTTTTCACAATGATGAAATTGTCTAATGATGCATTTCTTAAAATGTTAAATCCCTATTGTCAAACAATGTATCTAAAATCGTATTAAGAACTGTAAAATTATCCCATAGTATACCAAAATTATCAATAATCAAAATAGCATTAATGTAACAGAGCCTCATGGAGCTAGCAGTGGTCAATCTACAAGGTGACAAAAGACCCATGGAGTGCAGTACCCCATACTGCTTCTGTGTTTCATTTGTATTTGAGCTGAAGCCCCTCTGGTTGCTCACACCTATCCAGTATATCTAGGCAGCTTCCCTGGATAGTTCTGCTCACTATCTGCAGCCTTTGAGAGAGACAACTTTTCCACATGAAAGAGAAATATAAACATAATGAGGGCCTTGGGCCCACAATAACAGTGTTACCTTTAAGGATTTTGTAGGAGTCAGGTACTAACATAGGACTACTTCCTTCCAAATGCTGAAGAGTTAAGATGTGAAAAAAGCATGAAAGCACAAAAGCAAAGGGACTTGCTTACCTGTGGGGATGTGGACAAGCCTAACAGCACTGTCTGTTGTATTAACATGCTGCCCTCCTGCTCCTTTAGCTCGAAATGTATCTATTCTCAAATCCTTGGGGTCAACTTTCACATCTACCTAGAACAAAAGGTATAACAAGTACATTCTACACTCCATGAAGACTTGCATATTAAATTTATTCTGATATTTTTCAAATAAACTGGACTGTTTTGTGTTGTTACAGCTATTAAGCTAAAAGGAGAAATTACTATACCAAGGAAAAAACCACAAGCTCCTTATTTTGATAGGATGCTGTTTTTAAAACAATGACAGGATGTTATTACATCACCAGGTTACATACAATCTTTCAAAAATTTCATTCTTTAACACAGTTATATTACATAGAACATACAAAATATATATAAAAGGTATATATACACATATTTTATTAATTCAAAATCATCATTCATGGATCCCTACTTGTAAATATGCCTACTTGTTAAAATTTATTTGTGTCTCTCAAATCAATGCTTATACAGTCCTTTGCAGATATGCACAGGGCAGTTAAAAATTTAAGCTGCTCTATATTTTTATATTTTCAGCTGTGGTCAGACAAGGTGACAATCTACCTTCTTGTTTCAGTTTTCAGAGATGACCAGAAGACAGAGATAGATGGTAGGGGAAGGGAAATGTGATACAAGAAGCTTTGCTTGTGGGGCCAGTTGAATAGGGTTTGTTTTGTTTTCTTTTGTGTTTTACTTAAACCAGGGTCTTACTATAGTGCTCAGGCTGGCCTTGAACTCCTAGGCTCAAGCAATCCTCCTGCTTCAGCCTCCTGAGTAACTAGAGCTATAAGTAATCAGAGCAGTGCTTTGCTAGGACAGGGTTTAAATCTCAGCTCTAGTGTCTGCAGCAGCCATGACAAGCCTCAGACAAGTCACTTAGTGTCCTGAGCCTCCTTTTCTCTTTTATAAGAGATAGAAAATAGAATCTAGCACAATGGGTTGTTTTTAGGATTTAAGATTATAATCGATAGGATACATATGCACGTGTATGAATTAGCAAATACTGAACAGTTGCTCCTAAAACTAATTTGAAAATTATTGAACTATTCCTGTTAAGTGGCTGAGTATTTGCTAAATGTTCGCTGGAACTTTACTGAGCAAACTACTGCAAATAATAAGAATCGATGTGTGTGTGAGTACACGTGCATATGTGCACATGCACACATCAGTGAGTTGAAAGGTGATCCCCAGAAAAATATGTTCACGTTTTAACGCATGGAACCTGATTTGAAAAAAAAGTCTTTGCAGATGTAATTAAGATGAGGTTATACTGTATTATCTATCAGGCCCCAAATACAATGACAAGCATCTTTGGAAATACTTGTGTGTGCTTATGTATGTCTGTGTATTTAAAATAGTTACCAAATAGGCTGTGTTATAATTTGAATCTTGAATGTCCCCCAAAAACACAAGTGTTAAAGTCTTGATCCCCAGTCTGTGTCCTTCTTGGAAGTGGTGGAATTTTAGGAGACAGGACCTAATGGAAGGAAGTTAGGTCACTGTGGGCATGCCCTTAAGGGGACACTGAACTCTGGTCCCTTCTCTTTTTGCTTCCTGGCTGCCATGAGATAAGTAGCTTTGTTCTATCACACATTCCCCACCATAATATTATGCCTTGCCACTGGCCCAAAGGCAACAGGACCAATTGACAATTGGGCTCTAAACTCTGAGTAAAAATAAACCTTTCCTCCTTATAAGTTGATAATCTCAGTATCCTGTCACAGTGACAGAAAGCTGAATAATACATGCTATTTTAAGGGGAGAGCCAACATTGTGTTCTACATTCACTACTATGAGTGACAAATAGCAAGTGTGATGTTTCTCTTTGAAAAGTAAACTAATAAAGGGTCAAGGTTGTAATCTAACACAACACTTGCTTTCCTCTAAAATGAGGACTACATATGAAGAAAAAGGTTATATGACTTTTGTTAAAATTACTAGTGCAAGCTACCTAAAAATTCAATAAACACTAAAAAGATTATTTCCCCATTTCTTGTGGTTATAGTATAATTAGTTATATTACTACATAACTTATTGTGTAGGTATTATATGTCATATTCTTCAAATGTTATAAAAACCTAATGACTCTTGATGAATTCTGAACACAGAAACCATGACTTAAAAATATTCCAAGAATTTTAAAATTCAAGTAATTCAAGTAAGAGAATATGACCATATTCTTTTAGAAAAGTTAAGTTACATTAAATGAGTTTAATTTTCAAGAATATGAAGACATAATGGGCAGGTAGGAATGGGTGGAAGGAAAAAAGATGGTAGCAAGAAAATTCTAGGTTTGATTTTTGAACTTTGTAAATGTTTACATATACCAAAAATAAAATTAAACAAAAGGGAAAACAAAAATCAAATCCTAAAATTAAATAGAAACATAAACAAAGGAACCAAAATATTTACCATAACAACTATGTAGAAAAAAATTATTTCACATAGTCTTTGAAGGTAGTGTTCTGATTATACATTCTGAGGACAAAATCTTACACATTACTCAGTAGTTTACTATTAGTAATACTGGTATTATAATTTTGAAAGTTTTAATACATTGTACAATAAAGCAAATAAGTAAACACAGTAAATAAGAAACAAGAACTTTCACTCTTAAGTGGAGATATAAAATACAAGAAGAAAGGGGGAAAAAAACCTCTATAATGTTAAATTTGAATTGGTAATATGAAACTTATTTTAAAATATATTTTTTAGTTCTGTCCATTGGAATTCTAGAAGTTGGGATGCTCTAGTAATAATGATGACACCAAGAACCCAAATACTGCTTTGGGGGTACATTCCCCAGTAAAAAGGACCAGGCTAACTTCAGGCCTGAGACAGGACACTATTGGGACTGGGATAAGTAATAGTACCAGAAAGCAAGACTGGTGGGGGTCATTTCAAGAAAAGGCAAAATGAGTACCCTAAAAAGGCTATTACCCACCAAATGTGGGATAATATAAACATCAAAAAGAATAATAACTACAACAGAATGAATTAAAACAAATCTATGAATCTATAATGAGTTTAGTATATAAAACTTTATATCAAGAGTTTATAATGAGGGGCTGGGGTTGTGGCTCAGTGGTAGAGTACTTGCCTGGCATGTGTGAGGCACTGGATTTGATCCTCAGTACCACATAAAAATGAATGAATAAAATAAAGATATTGTGTCCATCTACAACTAAAAAAATATTAAGAGTTTATAATAATTCCTGTGGCTCAGGAGGCTATAGTATGAGAATATAAGTTCAAAGCCAGCCTCAGCAACTTAGCAAGACCCTGTTTCAAAATAAAAAATAAAAAGGGCTGAGGATATGGCCCAGTGTTTAAGTACCCCTGGGTAAAATGTTTGGTACCACACACACACACAAAAAAAAAAAAAAAATGGAAAAGAAAGAAAGAAAACAAACTATGGATTTAAAATTGTTGAGAACAGGATAATATGCACCCAAGAGATTACCTAGTAATTGCAAAGGGGAAAATATACTTTTAGAGTAGAGATATTTTGTGTGGTCACCATCCTAACTAAATGCTCAAACTAAGCCTTACTAAAAGTGGGACAATATGACATATGTGCCTTCTGGTAAGATGCAACATAACTCTAAATTTACCTATGAAGTATTCTTGCTCAAAGCCTGTATCCTGAAGGTAGTATAATAGACTATTTATATACAACTTTTAATGTATTACTAGAGGATAATGAAACATGTTAAACAGTACCATGAAGAAAAAATAATGAATCCAGAATGAGGAACACTGTATAAGACAAAGAGTGTAGACTGTTCAAAAGCCAATACCATTAGAGAAAAAGGCGAAAGACTGTTCCAGACTTCAAATATGTAAAACTCAATTGAATCCTGGCTAAAAAAATAGCCATAAAATACTTTTGTGTCGACTGCAGAAATTATAAAATGGACTAGATATTTAGATAATATTACATAATTTAACTAGGAGTATAACTCAGTGGTAGAGTGCTTGCCTAGTATGTGTGAGGCCCTGGGTTTGATCCTGGAATGGAAATAAATAAATAAATAAGATGCAAATGTAAAAAATAAAGAAAATATTATACAATCATGAACAATTTTCATAGAGGATGACATTGTGTTTATGTAGGACAATGTCCTCATTCTTAGGAGATGAATATGGAAGATTTGAGAAATAAATCTTATGGTGTCTGCTATATCTTTTGAATTTACCTAAAAAAGATATAAAAACATATCTATGGGAGTCAAGCAAATATAACAATTCCTGACTCCAGGTAAAAGTCATGAAAGTTTTGTTGTGGTAGAAACCCCATGCAGATATTATATTACTAATCCTGAAGTATCTGTGGAATTAATTTTTTTTCTTAAGATAAAATTTATGTAACAATATTTTTAAAACTTTGTGGATTCAGTTTTAAAATAAGTCACTTCTGACCAGGTGTGGTGGCACACGCCTGTAATCCCAGCAGCTTGGGAGGTTGAGGCAGGAGGATCAAGAATTCAAAGCCAGCCTCTGTAAAAGCAAGGTGCTAAGCAATTCAGTGAGGCCCTGTCTCTAAAACAAAATACAAAATAGGGCTGGGGGTGTGGCTCAGTGGTCGATTGCCCCCGAGTTCAATCCTTGGTACCCCCCACAAAAAAGAAGTCACTTCTATTTTAAACAAAATATCTTGTTAAGGTTGGTAAGGAAGAGCAAAGGCAACTTTACCTGGGGAAAGATTTCCCATTAGAAACTAAAAATAACCATTAAAAAACCAGATTTACCTAAAAGTTAAGACTTCTCAGAAAAATACCCATTTACATGAAGTGAGTTTTCAACACCTCCTGGTGAGGTTACCTCATCTGGCTGAGGAAGGACAATGACTGACATTGTTCCTGTGTGAATACGCTGCATTCTTGATGACAGGCCCACCTCAGGGATTCGCTGGACTCGGTGAATTCCACCTTCATACTTCAAATGCTTAAAGACATTTTCACCAGAAATTCGAGCAGCTGCGTGATGCAGTCCACCTAGGAAGAAAAATTCAGAAATATTTACAGATTCTACTGTGAAAGCGATTAGGATCCTAAATATCCTTAATTTAAGGTCTGAATGTGAGTATAGAACCAGAGATGAGAACATAAGGTAGATACAAAAGTATATTTTCACAATGTAAATATACTACTATATAAAAGGAAACACCAAATACTGTTTATGGTTATTTCTGGGAATAGAATAATAGTAGATTTGTATTTACTTTTCATATTTTTTGTTTGTAAGTATTCTATAAGAAACAAGTTTTACTTTCTTTTTTTGGTACCGGGGATTGAATTCAGGGGCATTCAACCACTGAGCCATATCCCCAGCCCTATTTTATATTTTATTTTGAGAAAAGGTCTCACTGAGTTATTAGTGCCTTTGCTTTGGACTCACGATCCTCCTGCTTCAGCCTCCTGTAATCCAAGCCTCTAGGATTACAGGTATGTACCACTGTGCCTGGCACAAGTTTTACTTTTATAATTAAAAAAAAAATACGATTAAAAAAATACTAAGAAATTGTCTACATTGAATTATCCTATGTTGTCTTAGGCTAATATAATGCCACATGTAAAAGAATATTCAACATAATAATTTTGCAGTGTTTAATAACTCAATAGGCCCTTCTAAGTTTTCAAGAATTTAATGACAGTCAGCTCTTGCTTATCTGTGAAGTGGGAAGAATGTCAGATACACAAAAATATCTTAATACTTAGGTTTAGCTTCTGTGTTTGTTTGTGTTTGTGTGTGAGTATTATCAAGGATTGAATATGTGGTGCTCTATCACTTATCCCCATTCTTTTGATTTTATTTTGAGACATGGTCTCACTAAGTTGCCCAGGCTGTACTCAAACTTGTGATTCACTTGCTTCAGTCTTCCAAGACGCTGGGATTATGAGTAAGCCACCACACCCACTTGATCAAGACTCAACTTATTTTCATCTAAATTTTTTTTAAAAAATCTTTTTTTATGATACAATAATATTCAGATTCAGAAAATCACAAGAATCAATATATGGCTTAATGACAACCACTTGGATAAAGAAAAACTTTTCTGGTCTCCCCATGCTATATAGTTTAGATCTGGAATGTCCCCTTAAGGCTCATATGTTCAAGGCTTGGTCCCCAACACAGCGATATTTAAAGTGGGGTTTTGGGGAAGTGATTGGATCATAAGGGCTCTAACCTCATCAATGGACTAATCTATTGACAGGTTAACAATTAAATGGACTATCAGGAGGTAGAGGAAACTAGGAAGTAGGGCCTAACTGGATGAAGCTGATCACTATGGGCAGGCCCTGGAAAGGCATTTTTTCTCCCAGGCCCCTTCCTGGCTCTGTCTATTTCCTGGCCACTATGAAGTAAGCAGCTCTTTCCACCACTTGATCCCTGCCATGATGTTCTGTCTCAAAAAGCCTCAAGCAAAACAGCCAAGTGACCATGGACTGAAACCTTTCAAACAGAGGCAAAATACATCTTTCCTCCTTGTTTTTCTCAGGTATTTTGTCAGTGACAAAACGCTAACATACTGGATAAGCACTCCTAAAACCTCAACTTCCCCTGTGAAAAATCATCATCCTGTCTTAAAATTGAGCCTGGTATGATGGTACACACCTGTAATCCCAGCAATTTGGGAGGCTGAGGCAGGAGGATTGCAAGTTCAAAAGCAGCCTTAGCAAGGCCCTAAGCAACTCAGTGAGACCCTGCCTTAAAATAAATAAATAAATAAACAAACAAACAAACAAATAAATACATAAATAAGAAAGAAGGGTTAGGGATATGGCTCAATGGTTAAATAACCCTGGATTCAATTCTTGGTACTAAAAAAAACCAAAAAAAATTAATTTAAAAAAAATTGCAGGTCCTTATAGCTCAGTGGTAAAGCTGGTACTTAGCATGCACAAGGATCTGGGTTCAATCCCCAGTACCAAAAGTCTCTTATTCCACACATTTATGATTCATTTCTTTCATTTCCTCCCAATTAACTGTTGAAAATATTTTAGGCAGTTTTTCATCTCTATGATAAAACAAATACCTTAGAAAAATTAATTTTAAGGGAGAGATTTATTTTTTAACTTATGGTTTTAGTTCAAGGTTGGCTGCTGGCTCCATTGCTTTAGGCCTTATATAAGGTAGAAAATCAAGGTGGCAGGAGTGTATGGTGGAACAAAATGGCTCACTTCAAGTCAGACAGGAGGAGGAGAGAGTCTGGGGACAAGATACTCCCTTCAAGGAGATACCTTCAGTAACCAACTTTTTAGGAGGCTGTATGCACCCCCTCAGATTTCCACCACTTCCCAATAGTGCCACCAACTGGGCACTAAGCCTTTAACACTTCAGCCTTTGTAGGACATTCCAGATTCAAACTATGACAAGAAACTTTGGGCTGCTGACCCATAGAAATTCCAACAGCCTGGTTTTGCGGATTGCATGCACTTGGTACATTTCACTATTCTGCTGCCCTCTGTATTGGCTGTAATTTGGCAGCTGGGTCCAGAGACTAAACCAGACATCAGCTTGAGCCCCTTGTCAAGATTACAGAAGACATATAATGTTCTTTTTATGGTTTTCACAGCTTTTGATATGCTGCTTAATGCATCATGTGTTATAAAATAGTCTATCATTTCTTTCTTACTTTTTAGTTTAAAAAAAATCTATAAAGAACTATTTCCTTTTGTCCACTGTTTTATTACTCGGTGATACAACTGCATTGGACAGTCAGGATAAAATGCTTGGTTCTGTCCCTTTACTAGTTTTACCAATATACCAATGTTTTTCTGCAATACAATGAATTGGGACTTTCTATCCTCTCAAGATGACCAATTATTTTTTTTAAACTATCATAATGAACTCAGGAGTACAAACTCATCCAGCATATTTACATCAATTACAATTATTATTTTTGAAGCTTAACTTGTCTCATCTTTGGCCAATGGAAGCCTCTTCAGGTTTACTTCTGTGTTCTTTTGACATGACCCTTGCTGAAGTGTAACATGATACTCCAGGATTATCTTGAACACTTTCATATTAGGGGGTTTTATGGAGATACCTTGTAATAGTATTAGTATAAATGCTGTTTTGGAGTTCTGGATTTGCTATTAAGTTGTTCTGTGTTTTTTTTTTTAACTAAAGTTTTTTTTTTTTTTTTAAACATTTAGTTGTAGATGGGCACAATACCTTTATTTTATTTATTTATGTGGTACTGAGGACCGAATCCAGTGTCCCATGCATGTAGGACAAATGCTCTACCACTGAGCCACAACCCCAATCCTGTTCTGTGTGTTTTTATGTACAGATTCAGAAAGACTGAAAACTATGTTGCTGTGGCTGCAGCCATCTTCCTAATACGCTTCTGATGAAGACACAGTACTATGAAATCCAACCTACCAGGTTTCCAGAGTCAAACATACATAGACAAAAATTAGGTATAGTTTTAGATTACCCTTACAAATGCCTTAAGAAGGTATCAAAGAGTGATATACAATCTATTAAAAAGTTCAATATAGCTGGTCTTCCTCCAGCACTGGATCAAATTACTGCTAATCTTGAATACCACATAAAGAAGCTGACATGTGGGGTGGGGATACAGCTCAGCTGGTAGAGTGCTTGCCTTGCATGCACAAGGCTCTGGGTTCAATCCCCAGCACTATAAAAAACAAAAAACAAACAAAAAAAGCTGACATGTGCTTAAGAGAACAGACTTTAGGAAAAATTTGATTGTTTAATAGTCATGTTCAGTGTGTTAAGATGGTTATAGTACAAAAACACCCAGGAATTAAAACAGAGTAGAGCCACAACAAATTTATTTTTGTATGTGTGTGAAACTGGGATAGAACCCAGGGTCTTGCTCATGGCTAGGCAAGTGCTCTACCACTGAACTTCAACCCCAGTCCTCCTCATGTTGTACTTTTAAAATTATTCTTCCCATCCCGTTACTTTATGTTGAGTGCAAATATTTGAATTTACATAAGCTGAAAAGGAGAAGGCTACAACTTCCCTGTACAAACTAACAGAGCCAGTGTTAGGCTGCCCAAGTTCAAATTTGAGGGTCCTCTTCTTCCTAGCTGTGTGCCCACATGCAAGCTACTTAATTTGTCCAGGTACTGGTTTCCTTATTTGTAAATAATAATATATATCTAAGCTAGAGCAGAGCTATTCATGCTGAAGATTATGTAAGCAGTGTCTCAAAGAAAATGTAAGCATACGACATCATTAAATTTGACCTACTCTTTAAAGTCTTTTGTTGGAGAGGTGGATAAAAGACAAACATACATAGAACATTTAGTACAATGTTGACATTTAGCTGTGGACTAGTATCAGTAGTAACTGGAACTACATCACAAGCTCTCCTAGACTAGTTTGGCATCTTGTGGAAGAGAAAGGCTATAAAGATCTCTGCAAACTAAATTGTTATAGAGAGTTGGAGAATTGACACATTCTTTTTTTTTTTTTTAACAGAGAGAGAGAGAGAGAGAATTTTTTAATATTTATTTTTTTTTTAGTTTTCGGCAGACACATCATCTTTGTATGTGGTGCTGAGAATCGAACCCGGGCCGCACGCATGCCAGGCGAGCGCGCTACCTCTTGAGCCACATGCCCAGCCCCAAATTGACACACTCTTAGGGGAGGGCAGTGAAGGTATACTGCAGGACTTGCCATATGAAAGCTAATGCTTTTGGTGGGTTTATATATATATATATATATATATACACATACATATTATGTATATATGTATGTGTATATATATGTGTGTGTGTGTATATATATATATATTTTAAGTTTTTGATGGACCTTTATTTTATTTATTTATTTTTATGTGGTGCTGAGAATCGAATCCAGTGCCTCACACATGCTAGGCAAGTGCTCTACCACCCCAGCTCCTGGTGGTTCTTATTGACAGGTAGGGATAAAAAGGCATTTACCAGATCAATAGATTCTTATGAGGTACCAGGGATATGTGAATTTGCTCAAACAATGAAACCACATTAAGTATAGCAGCTGTAATTGGAGCCATGACCTAGTTAAGCTTTGATGATCTACTGTTACTCCCTAAGACCCATCTGTCTTCTATGCAGGTCAAACAAGAGATGAATAGTCCTTGATAGTGGTATTAATCTCTATGATCCCTCTAAGACTGTGCTATTGTTTTTGATTTACTATTTTTCTAGGTAGCAGCAATTCTAATGGCTTCCATTAGATCTTTCTTACTATAATAGTATTTGTTACACCAGTTAGGGAACCAATGTGGGGATCTTGCCTGCTCTTGAGTAGTTCATTCCAATTATGAATTCTAAAACTTGGAAATAACTGGATGATGAGTTTGGGGACCAACTCGGCCCACTGTGAGATGGACTTAAAGTAAAATTCATTTGACTGATCACCTGACCTCCATAAGCACCTGCTCTGCCTGGTGGACCACAGAGATATTCTGGATTTCCCTGGACTAGTTCAGTTCAGAGCCAGTGTCCAAGAGTCCTGGAAAGATTTGATTATTTTCTTTTTCCAATGCACAGTAACTCTGTTAAAATGATCAAGGTCCCTTTGGGGAAACTGGAAGAAAGATTAATAGTATAAGTTTTGGTAGTGTACCAGTGGATGTTCTTTAAGGAACCTATCCTAGTCTTCATTCAAGGAATTTTGGGTCTAAGAACTGGTGCAAGTCTGGGAACTGATTGAGGGGCTATGAATCTCCACATTTATGTTTTGGTTTGATTTTTGTTCACATGACCTAGAACTTTTGTCTTACGCAGATCACACAGAGGGGCTGGTGTTGTAGCTCATGGTAGAGCACTCACCTAGCAAGTGTAAGGCACTGGGTTCGATCCTCAGCACCAAATAAAAATAAATAGATAAAAGGTATTATACCCATCTACAACTAAAAAAACATTAAAAAAAAGAATTTATAGACTTCCTATTATTTTACTTCCAGGAATACTATGATCAATGTCATAAGTCTGTGAAAGTCAGACTATTCTGACTGCTGCTTTGAATCTATTATCCAATAACTGCATCCACCTTGCCTTTAGGTTAGTAACACCACTTGATCCCTGCTGCCCTGGGATCCAATTACTGCCACTGCATATAGGTTCCCAATTCAAGGACCCAGGTTCCCACTATAAGGTCTAGCCTATAGAGAGTAATCTCTAGGCTCTTCGCTAGGACTCCCTTCACAATTTCATTTCTTACAGTAATAGTAAAAGGTATGTCTCTTAGAGATGTAAAATTAATCATAACACTACTTCAAGTGGCCTCTCCCTGAATTCAACTAATGAGTAAAGAATAACAAAATAAAATTATAAACATTAATCTGTTGGGGGTGGAGAAGATAATATATTTAATGGAATACCTTTAACTTGAAAAACATTTCAATTCATTAGACATCGGGCTTATAGAATAACAGAATCAGACACATACTACATACCAAGAGTTATTTCCCTTCACTACTTGAGTTAATCATTTAGTTTTGACTACTGATACAATGGTTAAGTATTATTTGTATCTGTACCCAAAGTAAAATAATTATGACTCTAAGAGTTAATATATAAATTTTAAAATAAAATTTTTCTTTTCAACTTTAGAACTTCTGAGGATGCCTGAAAATTCTCATTTCATTTAAACATTAAAAAAGAAAGAATAATAATATATATGATTTAACATACATGTTTTATGAAGATATCTTTTCTCTATTCCCTATCCACATCTTTTTTCTTCTCCTACCAGTTTATAATATCAATTTTAGAATTATTTTTTTACAATTTCAATGAATTGAAGTTTATTCTCAGTTTTTATTTTAAAGATATTCAAGTGAAATATTTAGGGCAGTATTTTTTAAAAAGAGCTTTCTAGTTTTTAAAGTATCTTTTTACACTTGATCTTAGCCAAAAGGCCGAGAAGCGATTTTAAAGTATCTTCTTTACTTTGCCAATGAATCAGTGTTTCCCAACCAACATTTAAGCTGTTCTACATACATGGAACAGAATCTTTCTTTCTGTCATTAGATTTCTCCCTCTTTCATTCTTGAAAGTTCCGTTCAAAACACACATCTCAGAGGTCACTGATGACACTTCCCATTATTTCTTCTTTAGAATCTGCTGCTGCATCTGATTATCTCTTTCAAACTTTCTGCTCTTGCCTCCAGAATGCTATACTGTCTTTATCCTTTTCCTGTGTATCTGACCTCTCTGTTTCTTTTACCTACTATTCTCTTTTTCAATGTGGTTATTCCCCAAAGCTTGGTGCCCTGAATGTTTCCTCTCTATAGATTCTCCCTCACTTATTCTCTCAAAATCAGACATAATCTCTGTGCTAATAACTACCAAATTTGTCTCCTGAATTCTGTTCTCACAGTATCTCTGGTTACACAATTTAGCATTTACTGGATATTTCTAAATGGATGCTTAATTCAAAACTTAATTAAAAAAACACTCATGGGGCTGGGGATTGTAGCTCAGTGGTAGAAAACTTGCCTAGCATCTGTAAACCCTGGGTTCAGTCCCCAGAACCAAAACAACAACCACAAGAAGAAAAACCACTCAACATTATTCTTCCCAAATGGGTTCTTGTTATTTAACTTCAACTCCACTCAATAGAATGAACAAATATCACAATCTCCCCAGCTAAAAAGATTAGAATCCCTGAGGCTCATCGCTTCTGTCAGAGGGGAATAATGGGATGTAGTGTGACTCTAGATCAAACAGACCTGAATTTAATCCCAGGATTATTTGTTGTGTGATCCTGGATTATTTAATTACTCTCCAAGCCCAGATCTTCATCTGTAAAATGAGATTAATAATATCTATCCCACAGGTTGTGAGGATCAGAATGGTGAGATGTATACATAGGAGATGCTGGAGAAGAAATAGCCCTTCTTGTATCCAGTTAGTTACCAAATTTGCCTAAGTACCCCTACTCTTAATTCTAACTCTTAGTTATGTCTGGATTACCTTGAAGACTGCCTTAAATGTAGCCTCTTCAATCTATCCTTCATACTCTTGTCAAAGAATCTTCTCAAAATTTAAATTTCATCAAGTCATATTCACATTTATTTATTTATTGGTACTGGGGATTAAACTCAGGGCCTCATGCATGTTAGCCAAGTGCTCTATCACTGAGCCACCTCCCCAACCCCTCTAGCTCTTTTTATTTTTATTTTGAGACATGGTCTTGCTAAGTTACCAGACTGGCTCAAACTTGTGATTCTTCTGCCTCAGGCTCCCAAGTAGCTGGGATTATAGGTATGTGCCACCACAGCTGCTTTATACTGATTCTTACAGTTCAGTATTCAGTATACAGTTCCCTATTCTCTATCAATCAAGGCGTATTCAGCTTTCAAGGCTGTCCAAAACCCACCTACTCAAATCTATTTCAGCTATTACATCTCATTAAATATGCTGTCAGTAAACTCCTCATTGTCCTACCCACAAACCAAAGTCTTTCCTACTACACCATGCTGTTGCTTCTGGAGGGTCCTTCTTTCTGCTATTGATATTCCCCTTTCCTGTCATATTTAAAATCTATACCAAGCATAACTTACTTATGTGTAATATGTTAGTTTTCATTTCCCTCTACTTTTTAAATTGATCTTCTTTCCCTATTTTAAGTTTGCAGTTTAGTACTGATAATCCTACTGTGGTACAGCATCATATAACTAAGAATACAAAATATTCAGATGGACTAAATGAGAAAAAAAAAAGAATTAGTATTAAATACCCTAAATTAACCAACTTGAGTATTTAAAAATGTAAGGTCACTAGGTACGGTGGCACATGCCTGTAATCCCAGTGGCTCAGGTTCAAAGCTAGCCTCAGCAAAAGTGAGGTGCTAAGTAACTCGGTGAGACCCTGACTCTAAATACAAAATAAGGCTGGAGATGTGGCTCAGTGGTCGAGTGCTCCTAAGTTCAATCCCCGCTATCCCCCACCGCCCAAAAAAGGTAAAAGTGTAAGGTCTTACACTGCTTGTTATTGTTCATGTTGTATAAATTTTTATTATCCCAATTCAATGGAAGTTTCTTAAAAATAAAAACAAATGACTTTTTTTGCACTCCCATAAAAATTTAACATGATTAGACACTTAGTCTAATTGATAATATTTTCTGATAATGTTACATAATTGATAAAGCTCTTTTAGAGTAAAAACTTTAGTATTAATTTTTATTTTGACCAAGTTTATTAGTACATGTCTGTCATCCCTGGTATTCAGGAAGCTGAGGCAATAGGATCTCAAATTCAAGGCTAGCCTAGGCAACTTAGGTAGACCCTGTCTCTAAATAAATAAATAGGACTGGGAATGAAGCTCAGTGGTAGAGCATGAAATATATATATATATATACTTTGAATAATACAAAGTAATTATTTTAAGGCAAGGTAGATATCTATTCTGCCCAGGAAAATTTTCTTTAATATCCCACCTTAGGATGATGCTTCATCCTTCCTGTTCTTTTCTCCTGGCTTAGAACTCTACTCAGTAGAGTTCTAAACAACTGTTGTAAGTCTGTGTCATAGTGTTTAATAGATAACAGATCAAATGTTTTTTAAAATGTGGCAGCATGTTTCTAATCAATATCAGATGTAATATAATTTTCAGCATCTTCTATGGACAAAATCTTCAAATATGCCTACCATAATCTGCTGGTGTATAATTCACAAGTTCAAATTTCCAGTGTTTATAGTGCGAATAATTCTGGTACATGTCAAATATTTCTCGGGTAAATTGCTGGCAGATATCACCTACAAGAAAACATAAAAAACAGTTAGTACAAAGTTTTCAAAGACAGCTATCCTTAGGAATGAGTCCCTTAGGAAATGAGAAGTAACTACTTCCAAAGATGAACACATTTAGTGGACTTTAATGTTATAGTGATGTCAAATCAAGGTGAACTTCAAGAGTTTTTTAGGTCATTTACAATAACATGATTTTACTGACCTCCAGTAGTTCTTCCAGATGTCACCTCTAAAATAACATCATTTTGGTCGTATTTCTCTTTTGGCACTAGACTCTGAAAAAGCTGGAAAAGATTTTCCTTAGTAAATTATTATTACTTGAACTTAGATAAAAGCCCTTAAATCATTAAAAAAATCAGTAATTAAAAAAATTATATAGTATCCCCAAGAGGTTAGTCCTAAAATGCTATAATGAGTAGATCAAATTAGACTAAAACAGGTGATCAGTTCATGTTAACAATGAAGTTACTTGTCCAGATATTCTGCACTGCTATCAGATTAATTTTCTAAAATGCAGATGTTTAGATCAAAGCCCAGAATGTTCCATTCAATTTTCTTCAGATTTTGCCTCTCATAATTAGTTCTGAACAGTAGCTTCTTTCATCTAATGAATGAAGCAAGGCTTTCAAAGTTTTCATTTGGGATAAATACATACATACAATTGCATATTCTCCCCTCCCATAAGTGTCAGTGGATATACCATGCCATGTCTTGCCTTCTCAGTGGGGACACTCTTTAAACACTAGCTTGAGGGCTCCTGAGATAAAACTCAAAGAGTTTCTATGCCATGACAAGGAAAAAAAAAAAAAAGTGGATTCCTAATAAAGAAAGCAATCAACTTTCCTTTTAGGATAAAGGGGACAAAATTTCCTTAATATTCAAAGTCTTCCAAGTCAAATTAAAAGTACCTACATGTCATGACTTCTACTGCCAGTTTCTGAAATACTCCATCTCTGCTAGAAATGAGATAGTACATGAGAAAGAATATTAAACTAAGTGTCAGATATTTTAGTTTACCTTTGATTAACTGGTTAAAGCAGTGATAAAAATAACTGATAGGGCTGAGGTTGTAGCTCAGTGGTTGAGCACTTGCCTAACATGTGTGAGGCACTGGGTTTGATTCTCAGTGCCACATATAAATAAATAAAATAAAGGTCCATCAATGACTAGGAAAAAAAAAAAAAAGAATAACTGATACTTTTACTTCATCCCTCCAACCCCTGAAAGAGCCATTCTTCTGGATTCCCAGAGTAAGAAAGCTGAAGGTAAGATGATGGTAAATACGATAGAGGGAAATGTATTCTTCACTGTCTTTGGAGATAAGCCATCCACTGAGTTAGAAGAAAAAGAAACCACCTTGAAAGAAAAATTTCCCCTATGTTTCTAGGAGATAACCAGCTGATACTGATGTATAGTATCGTGAACCTTGAGAGATCCCAGTATCTTATTAAACCTAACTAAAGACTTGTATTAACCAACTGTCTCTAATGCCCCTGATTCCTTCCATTCTATCCAGAGTGCAAATTTCCACTATGACTCACATCATCTCCTTTCAACATTTTAAAAACTCCTGATTGTTCCCCATGGCAGACTAAATTTCTTTACTAGCACGTCTTCTCTTGCCTGGCAAGTTAACAGATTCAGATTTTACTTTTTATTTATTTATTTATTTTTGTTCTGGGCACCTCTGTTTTATTGTTCAACATTTCAATGTCTTCAATCTCATTGTATAACAAATCCCAGCACTAAACCTAGCATAATTACTTATCATAAGATAATAAACCAGTGTTTGCGAAGTACTTTAGGCACCAACTCAGTCTAGCAGGAGGAGTATTTCTTAATGTTAACATTATTGAGATTAGTCTACTTCCTAAAACATACCTCACTGTACAGCATGTTGATTTTTTGATCAATGATTTGCCTTTCTTCCAATGCAAGTTCTTGTAACTGCTTCTCATCTTGTTTATTTAGACCTAAAAACAAGCAACAGGAATTATGGTAAAGTTTTTAAACAGTTACAGAAAAAGTCTTAAATAGCCACCTCATCTTTTGTCTATGTTTTACTTCAGTTAGGAAGGCAAAGCATTAAAATACTTGGAGAATGTCAATTAATGAGTTTTGCTAAGCATCTTGACCATCCCCCTCTGTAGATTGTGATTTAATATCTATAAGTAAGCACAGAAAACAGTGATTAACTATGGGCTGGAGCTGGAGCTCAGTGGTAGAGAACTCACCTAGCATGTATGGGTTTAATCCTTAGTACCACATAAAAATAATAAATAAATAAAATAAAACTATTATGTCCATCTACAACTAAAAACATATTTTTTTTTTAAAAAAAGAAAATAGTGATTAACTAAACAGTTCTTAAAAGGAACTGGCTAACTAAATATAAATCCAAATAAGGTTAAGTTTTGGAGCAAACTGGGGTGATCATTTCCCTTTGAAGATGGCAGCCATAACTCAATACTCTTGTGATGTGTTTCTAGCAGTGGCTAGAACTCATTTATTTAAAAAAAGTCACATATAAGAAGTCTTGAAATCTCTTGACACATTCATATCTAGCATATTTTTTAAAAACACTATGTGGGTCAAATAAAATATAGCCTTGTAATCTGTGCTACATGGAAACAATGGTCCTTTTCATATATCTCAAAAGCAGAAAGTTCAATTATGCAACTCTAGCAAAACAAGATAACAATGACAGAATGGCCAAGTATGGTGAATCCCATAAACTTTGACTCCATTGCTCTAGATGTTGAGCATGTATCAGTTGTGAGAGCTGCAAACGAAAGTAGAAATTTTTGATTCTCAATAATTATTAGGAAGAAAATAGAAATGAAGAAATAATTGTAAAAGAAAGAAGGCTCTATAAAATTCTTCTCTAGTCACAAAAGTCTTTAATCTAATGGGGATTCTGTGCCTCATTCACGGTTTCAGTATTTAACACTTACTATGTGCTAGACATACTTCTAGTTGTTGAAGGCTCAAGGAAGAATAAAACATGGGTCCAAGCCTCAAGTGGGTCAGTCTGGGAAAGATGGACACATGCACACAATCATGGTACATGATAAGCAGAATGCCATTGTGTCACAGGACACAAATGAAGGGGGATAATCCAAATTTCAGCATTTCAGGAGAGCTTCCTGGTTAAGGTATTTTCTGAGCTTGTAAATCATCTGCTGCAGAATTGTAATGTTACTACTGGTATCACTTTGTGCACATATACCACAAACCAGGCTGACATAACCCCCACAGTCCTGGTTCATAGGTATTAGGAAAATTTTCTTTTCTAATCATATAATTTTTTTCGTGGTCTCTTATTATTTGCTATAAATCTGTAAAATTCAGTCCAGTTCAATTTTATTAAATCAGTAAGTATTTGGGAGCCTATTATATCCTATGATTGGCATAAGAGATAAAAAAAAAAAAAAAAAAAAGACTCAAGCCCTGTCCTTGAGGAACAGACAATGAAGTCAGGGGTGGAGACTTTTTAGCAAGTACCTTAATGAGACTAATCTCTTAGTACTTATCTTTAGAAGCTGAAATATGTCAAATACTCTAAGTACAGAGTTCTTTTCTTGCCAAGTGTTGAGCTTACTGCTTGTAGGGTTTTAAAAAAAGATACAGTTCATTAAAGCTTTAACGTAAAAAGCCAATCCTGTACTTACACACACATATCTTTTACTTACTTTCACACATTGATTCTAATTCTTTAATTGTTTGTTCAGCCTCCTGAATTTCTTGGCAAATGGCTGCAAGTGGTGCCAACTCAGCATGCCTTTGGTTCAAGGACTTTTGGTTCCTTTCATTCAAAGAGATATCCTGCAAACACTGACCAAGTGCTTGATACTCCTTATTTAAGTCTTCCACATATTTCTGTAGTGCTTTATGCTTCCAGAGCATCCTGGTATCTTGATGACAATATCTCCTGGACCAATTCTTACTTAACAGACGATGGAGAATGTGATTCCCATTTTGTCTAAATGGCTTTGTAGAGAGATGTATCTGTCTAAACTGATGAGAATGCAGGTTTACGTGATGCTGGGGATAAGCATTAAGAGATGAATGTCTAAAAAGCCAAACACACAGGTGACGATTCATTTCAGCACCTGAAATACAATAAACACAACTTGAAAAGAAAAATAAACTCTAAAGATATATGGTACAATAGAGCTGGAACTTCAAATAAATCATGCTTTTCTCACTTTATCAGCCAGCTCAAAATACAGCCCCAAAGTTCCAACAACTCATAAGAATTCTTCAAACTTCTGAACAACAACATATTAAAATAAATGAAAACAGCATCCTTTTTCCACCCCACCCAACATATATAATTAACGAAGGCAAATGAGTGGGAAATATACAAACAAATATACAAACAGAATGGGTTAAATTAGCTATTTTCTAGAAAATATCCAGGGTCAAGAATTGTCTGTCAATAAACATTTGGAAGGTACAAAACAACTGTGCAAATTTTAGGTGGTTCATGGTTGTCGCCTTTTAAAGTTTAAAGGAAATACTATTGTCTAATTCTTTTTCATTCTAGGCATCGAGATGTCCTATGAATTCAGGTACCTTTATCTTGATTATTCACTAACTGGATAGAGGTAGAGCTGTTATTTGAATGCAAGTTGCCTACTCCAAGATATTTTAATACTTTGTCATTCTCAATTCTGCAGTCACTTCTAGCCGAGATCCTCAAGAAGAAAACTTCAAATACTAAGAGAACAAGAAAGTAGGTCCGGTTAACAAGGGACAATGATGATAATTAAGTGAAAAAAAGCAGATACAAAATAATATAATTTCAGTTATATTTTCAAAACATTCTACAACATATGGGGAAAAAACTCTACTGGAAGTATGAAAGTATTTTTTAAAAAGAAAACCAAAAGCTGAGCATACCAAACTGTTAATAAGAGGATCTCTAGTCATCTAGAGATTATGTACATTTTGCTTGATTTGTACTTTTCCAAGTCTTTTACATATAAAACACATATTACTTTCATAATTTAAAAAAAATTATAGGTTAGTAGAAATTGGCTTTGTACAATAATTACCTGTTCTCCCCTCAGATAATCAAGAGCTAACAAAAACACACAATGATTTTATTAAGTAAGAAAAAGAAGAGTTGGGTGCTGTGGCACATGCCTAGAATCCCAGAGGCTGTGGCAGGAGGATCACAAGTTCAAGGCCAGCCTTAGCAACTGAGCAAGACACCATCTCAAAATAAAAAGGGCTGGGGATGTAGCTCAAGGGTTGAGTGACCCTGAGTTAAATCCCCAGCACCCAACAAGAAAAAAAGAAAGGGAAAATACAAAGTGTTCGAAGAAAAACAGTTTGCCTCTAAAATCCTAAGATTTGAAATTGAAATAAGAGTTAAATTTTGGCACCATCTCCAGGAAGGAGGTGTATTTTACATATTAGCTCATTTCATCTCTCTAAATCTGCTAACAGCATTATTGCTTAGGAAATAAAATATTCAAAATGGTCTCTAAAATAGTCAACATTTGGGGTTCTACTGATTTAACATACTGAATCTCATTTGAAAATGGATTGTGGAAGCACGCATCATTATTCAGGGCCACAAATTTAACACTCCTCCAGCAGTTTCTGTGCATCAAGCTCATCAGAGTGAGTGTGTCCCCCATTTGATAGTGGAAAAAATAAAAAGATGACAAACATTTTTGATAAAATACTTCTAGCTAAAATTTCCATTTTATGAACAGCAGTAGAGTGAATAACTCTCAAGGTCATGAACCTCAATGTTAAGGGATAAAATCGAGACATTTACTCTCTAGGGTCATTTATATCTGATTCGAGCAAAATTTCTCTAGCACCCAAAAATAACAGTGTGATTCTGCCATCTTAAAAGCAATTCTCGGTGTTAGCGTGTCAAAAGTGATGGTAAGCCGGCGCTAAAGCAGCACGTGCAAACCATACTGTACAACTCTGTTATGGAGCGACTCTATAGGAAGGCACCACCAGGAGGTGGACGGGAAAACCAGTCCCGGTAAGATCAGAAGAGAATTGTGAGTAACTAAGAAAAAGAAAAGAAGGCATTAAGTTTCCTTACTGAGGCGGAACCTTCCGTGACCCTCTATCGTTCAGCTGTTCAGACCCGGAACACTATCACTTTGTGAATTACTCCTTCCGGTTGACGATTGCCTCAGGCTCCTCTTCGGTCAGGACTCTTCTGCAGAGTAGTTTTTGAGCGTCCCTAACAATGAGCTAGAATGAGAGAAATGACAAAGCGAGACAAATCTTCACGAAACGAAAACGCGCTTTATTTATCCGGAGTGGGAGTTCAGAGCGTGTGTTCCAATGGTGGAAGGACGGAAGGACACAGCCGACAACGAACCATAACTCCCAGGGGCTACCACCAAGGGATCCTGGGAGTTGTAGTTTGTCCTGCAGAAGGCCCCCACCACCACCACTTCCACACCTGACCTTGAGCCAAAGGTGGAGGAGCTTTGATTTTCACCGGCATGTGCAAACCAAGAAGAGAGATGGTCTCTGTTCTGATTAAGAGTTCAGGATTTACAATGTATTATAGGTGAAATTACAAGAACTTGCTTTTCGGAACCCCTGATTTTTTATGAGTAAGCACTTTCATCATCCAAATTTAGGAGATACTGTATGTTAATTGCTATATTTTCAGCTCCCAAAACTTGAGAAAATATCCAATGACTAAAAGAAACCTTAAACCTAAAAGTTACAACAGGATCCAAAAGACAGGTAAATACACAGGTATATGTATTTATATCTCCATAAGGTAATGACTATAATGTTGCATGCACATATAGAATTCAGGGGCTCAACCAATATTTATAGTTTGTAATCCACCAATTAAATAAATATTTTTAAAATTCAATTAAACAACTCCAAGAAAATGCGAACATATTACTATACTTTGAATATTTTAGTGGGATATAATCCTTGGCTATCACATTTGCAAGTCATTTGATTTCTGTGCCTCCATTTTTCTTTCTGGAAAGAAAAGGTGAAAAATACCCCATATTATTGAATTCAGAAGGTTTTTTAAAAGTTTTTTAAAAGACAGGGTCTGGGTGGGGGAGGCTGGGGTTGTGGCTCAGCGGTAGAGCGTTTGCCTAGCATGTTCAAGGCCCTGGGTTCGATCCTCAGCACCACATAAAATTTTTTTAAAAATAAAGGTATTGTGTCCAACTACAACTAAAAAATAATTAAAAAAAAAAAAAGTCAGGTCTCACTAAGTTGCTAAGGACCTCGCTAAGTTGCTGAGGCTGGCCTTGAACTTGTGATCCTCCTTGCCTCAGCATCCCAAGTCACTGGAATTACAGGCATGCACCACTGTGCCCAGCCATTCTCTTAAATTATTCAAGAAAGTCCTTTAATTCTTTGATTTGTGTATGCAACTAATAACTTAAGTATCATATGTAAAACTATTCTCCTAAAAAGTAAGCCCTCCTTAAAAAAAAAAAAAAAAGTTTATCTTACAGAAGTAGAGAATAGAATAATGGTTACCAGAAGCTGGGAAGGTTGGCACAGGTTTGCTGGAGAGAGGATGGTGAATGGGTACAGATGTGCAGGTGGATAGGAAAATAATTTTTAATATCCTATAGCGTTTTCTTGATTGACAAGAATTGATTGCTATTTCATCCACAGCCCAGTTGTGTCAAGGCAGTGGGGTAGATTGCAGACAGGCCAAAGAAAGTGCCCAAAGACAGCATGGGAAAGATGATTTATTAGGGAAACCTTTAAAAGATCAGTAACTGCTCCAAGAAGAGTTTAGTGGTGACAGGCTGCCCGCATCTCCATCCCTTACAGTGCTGTGCCAAGCAGTACCTCCTTTCTTTCATAGTGTTTTGTCCAATGGCAGCTAGCTGGACAAGTGACATGTATCCTTTTCACAGTGCCTTCAGTTTTACACCCATCCTCTTTCAGAGAGGGACTTTTTTGTGTTGTTTTTTTGGCGCCAGCGATTGGACTTAGGGGCATGCGACCACTGAGCCACATCCACAGCCATATTTTGTATTTCTTTTAGAGACAGGGTCTCACTGAGTTGCTTAGCACCTGGCTTTTGCTGAGGCTGGCTTTGAACTCTTGATCCTCATGCCTCAGCCTCCCGTCAGAGAGGGATTTTAGATGTTAGGCTGCAGAAGCTGTGATAACATTAGCATTAGTTTGCTTGTCTGACAAGCATCCCAAGGAGCAATTGTCCCAGTGTATGTGCAAAAAGTAGTTTTTTATAGATAACACTAACTTGTCCTAATTCCCAGGGTACATGAAAGCCTCTGTTCTTTAAGATAATATATATCTGGACTTTCTAGCCCAGGCTTGCTCTCTTTGTTCCCTTAACTTGGTAAGGTCTTTGGGAGCAGAAAATAGGCATTCAGGGACATGATGTTTTACAGTCCCCCTTTGCTTTAGGGACTATATAATTGTATATTTCAAAAGAGCTAATAGAAAAGATTTTGAGTGTTCCCAACACAAATAATAAACTCTTGAGGTAATTGATAGGCCAATTACCCTACATTATACATATGTATTGAAATATAATACTGCACCCCATAAATGTGCACAATTATGTGTCAATTAAATATGAAAATTTAAAAGAAGTTACAGTACAATTTTTGCCAAAAAGTCTTTAACAAGTCTTTGAAAGCCTTCCTATCAACTGCATTGTTCATAGCCATATTATTCATGTACATATTCAAAATTTGTATGTTGAAGTCTTATCTCCCCATGTGACTGCATTGAAGATAGGACCCTTAAGGAGATTATTAAAGTTAAATGAAGTTAGAAGGGTGGAGCTCTGATCCAGTAAGATTAGTGCCTTCTGAAAAGAGACACAAGAGAGCTTTCTCAGTCTTTCTGCTCACACAGAAGGGTCATGTACCTGAATGCCAAAAGAAGGCACCCTAGAAAGAAACCTAACTTGCTGATTTGTACCTTGATCTTCCACTTCTCAGCCACCAAAACTGTGAAAAACATATTTTTGTTTTTAAAACCACCAGGCCATGGTATTTTTTTTTACAACAGTCCAAGTAGACTAACATTTAAATATATAAAAATTCATTGAGATATACATGAAACTTCATGCACTTTATTGCATTATTCCTCAATTTATAAAAATCTTTACAAAAAAATTATTCTTAAGCAGACATGGTGGCCCATGCCAATAATACTAGCAGCTTAGAAGGCTGAGGCAGGAGGATCTTGAATTCAAAGCCAGCCTCAGCAACTTAGTGAGGTCCTAAGCAATTCAGCGAGACCCTGTTTCTTAATAAAATATAAAAAGGGCTGAGGATGTGGCTCAGTGGTTAAGCATCCCTGGGTTCATTCCCCAGTACCAAAAACAAACAAACAAACAAAAAAACAACTTATGCTTTATTTTATTTGTTTATTTTTATGTGGTGCTGAGGATTGAACCTGGTGCCTCACACTAGTACCTCACATGTGCTAGGCAAGTGCTCTGTCATTTAACTACAGCCCCAGCCCAGAACTTATTCTTGATACTATAAATACTGCTTCCTCCTATAAATTTTCAAAGAAAGAAAATAATGTGGTCTATTTATATTTATTTACATGCAAAGATATTCACATTATATCATTTTTTTATATTTATTTTTATGTGGTGCTAAGGATGGAACCCAGTGCCTCACGCATGGTTGGCGAGCGCTCTACCTTTGAGCCACAATCCCAGCCCCACACATTATATCATAATTGAAGGAACATATTTTGAAACTAGGCAGCTATTCCATTTAAAAAATATATAGGGCTAAAGATGTGGCTCAGTGGTAGAGTGCTTTGCCTATCATGTGCTAGGAGGCCGTGGGTTCAATTCCCATTACTGAAAATAAGTAAAAAAAAAAAAATATTTTTAAATGCATATATATTTAAAAGTCCAGTAAAATTACAAGTAATCATTATTTTCATATTTATATATATCAGCTGTCACTGTAACAAAATATCTAAGATAAACAGTGTATAAGGAGGAAAGATTTATTTGGCTCACTATTGCAGAGATTTCAGTCCATGGTCAATTGGCCACCTTGCTTTTGGGCCTATGGAGAGAAGAACCTTATAGCAGTAAGCAGGGGCAGAGCAAGTCAGTTCACCACTTGGTAACTGAGGAGGGTGGGGAGGAGGAATAGCCAGGATCATAATATCCTCTTCAAGGGCACAGCCTCAGTGACCCAATAACCAACTTCTTCCAACTAGGCCCCACTTCCAGATGTTTTCACCATTTCCCAAAAGTTTCCCTTATCTGGGAACTAAGCCTTTAATACATGAGCTTTTGGGAGACATTTAAGATGGAAATCATAACATGGTTCCTTATGTTTTGTGATGAATTTTATTGTAAGAGGCCATAAAAGGAAAAAACCTGTGGAAGGTATTAAGGATCATTTTATAAAATTAAATAACTTCTAAAGAGTATAATATCATGAAAAGTTAAATATTTCCCAAAACAGTAATAGCAATAATAAAAACTGTTAGTTTGGTGACAAAAACATATACATATAAGATTTTGATTAAATTAGCTATAAGAACTATCATATCTGAAACATTTCTCATAGTAGAGTCAATAATAAAGAGTTTCTTTGTTGAGTGAATTTGTGATAGTACTGATAATTTTATATCCCTTTGAGAACCTAAATGTCCACCTTCTAGAACTTGGAGCAAGCTAAAATAATAAATTATGCAGGGCCATTTTTCAGATTCTTTTAGAAAAGCAAGCTTAGTCCAAATACCCAAGAGGTAGTTATTGGGGGAATTTCACTTAGCTTCTTCTCCTAGGCTAGTTTAAAGATTCTGGGGACGTGTGTGTGTGTGTTTGCATGACACAAATCAACTTGTGTCCATTTGTAGGGACTCCAAATTAGTTAAGTGTCCACTTAGGGTTTTCCTTCAGAGAAGCAGCGCCCCCAGTACCAGGGCTTCCACATTTCTGTACATTCTTTGGGGATCCAAACCAGGGCTGCTGAAGATACTGGTTCCAGACTAAGCTGAAATCTTTGATTCCTTCTGTGAAATTTTCAGAAGCATGAAAGCTACTTAAAATCCCTGCATACAAGTTATGATACTCTTTGGCTTTGAGCACACCATGAAGATGAGCCTGTTTTTCTGGTTTCCTGGAGCTTAGGCCCTTGGCCATACCTTAATGTCCCACAATATGAAGACTAGAAATGTAAAGATCAGATATGTTTGACGATAGAAAAGATGAAATCAGAAATTATTTAGCAATTTAATATAAAATTCAAACTCTCATGAAGGATGAAAAGCACTGGCAAGGCATAGGTTATTCTATTGTATTCTTATAAACTGTTTCCCCTGAGAGAAGCAGAAATACAAAAGATGAAAAGGCCGAATATCTTATTTTCCCGTGTTCATACTGGCTCTCAAATTTTTTCTTAGCTTGAAAAGTGAATTCTAAGAAATGCGCCACCTGCTGGCATTGTTGAAACTAAACCCCTCTCAAATAATGTAAGACGTACAAAGTCAACCTATGTTCCATTTATCTTTTTTTTTCTTTAGTTGTAGATGGACATATCACCTTTATTTATTTATTTTTATGTGGTGCTGAGAATTGAACCCAGTGCCTCACATGTTTGAGGCAAGTGCTCCACTAATAAGCTACAACCCCAGCCCTCTTCCTTTTATTTTTCAA